TTTGCCTAAACCTTTCAAAAAAACTTCTTAATACATTCGCAAACAAAATCTTTTTAAGGGAATTAATCACAAATGTTTTACCAAAGGAATGGTTTGCCTGCCATTATTCGTCAACTATCAAACTTTTTAAGAAATGATTAAAAAACTTTTTGTTTATCCAGGCCGACAGAAAAGTCAAAAGTCATCGTTTATCCAAGCGTCCCTGAAGCTATGCATAGGACGCGATAGAAATTATTATTAATAGTAATTTAAAAGCGATTCAATAAAACGTTTTTTTTAAATTTACATTTTTGTTGTAGAATAACGCTGTCACACAGTTTACAGGCAATGTACTTGTATATATATATCATACTGCAAATTGGCATTACACACTTAATATAAAGGAATCTCTTTGCAGTTGCAACGCCAAACTTAATAAATAACGAACTATCACGCAATCGCAAATACTATTCAGTACTGACTGTGTTCAAATTCAAGTGCCTCCCGACCATAACAATCAATCAATCAATCAATCAATTAGCTTATAAAGCGCTATTTCCGCGATGTTCAACAGCGCTCCTCAATGAATTTTGAAAACAGATGGGTCTTGAGATCCGCTCTGAACTTCGCAAGTGATGGAGAAATAGTTAGAGAAGTAGGTAGAGAGTTCCAGAGAAAAGGACCAGAAAAAGCAAAAGCAGATTTGGCAAAAGAGTGTTTAACACGAGTTAAGAAAAAGCGAGAAGAAGAAGACGATCGTAAACCGGGGCGTTTAGGTTCAATTAATATATCTGATAAGTACTTAGGAAATAATTTAGATTGAGACTTATACATGAACGTGCAAATTTTAAAAATTATTCTATATTTTATAGGTAGCCAGTGCAAGAGAACAAGATATGGAGATATATGAGAAAAGAAAGGGGCACGAGCAACTAGACGAGCAGCAGAGTTAAAAGCTTTACTTAAAGGATAGAGTATAGAGTCAGGAAGACCATAGTAAAGCGAGTTACAATAATCAATCCTAGATAAGACTAACGAAGTAACAAGAAGGAGAAGAGTAGGATCATCAAGAAAAGGCAAAAGTTTTTTTATTCTACGTAGATGAAAGTAAGAGCTTCTAGCAACACTATTAATCTGAGAAGAGAGAGACATAGTAGAATCAAAGATAAAACCTAGACTACGAAACATATGAGAGACATCAAGAGTTTTAGAATCAGGTAAGATAATAGGAGGAATAGTAATTGAGTGTTTAGATTTATTAAAACAAATTAATTCAAACTTAGAAGGATTAAGTTTAAGACACATAGAATCAGACCAAGCGATAATCGAAGAAAGACATAGAGATAAATTATGAAGAACACTATTGAGATTAGATGGAGGAAAAGAAGTATAAATATAAGAATCATCAGCATATAGTTGAATAGAGAAAGAAAAGTTATTAATAATACGAGGTAGTTCAGAAGTATAGAGTATAAATAGAAGAGGGCCAAGGATAGAACCCTGAGGTACCCCGAAAGTAAGAGTAGAGGAGTTAGAAGTAGAATTATTGAGAACAACAGAAGAAAAACGATTACAGAGATAAGAAGAAAACCAAGATAGACAAGAATCAGTAATATTAAAAGAAAGATGCAGCAGTCTCAAGAGAATAGTATGGTCAACAGTATCAAAAGCTGAAGAAAAGTCAAGAGCAAGAAGAAGAGTAAGATTACTATTGTCACTAGAGAGAAGGATATCATTGTGTATTTTAAGTAAAGAAGTTTCAGTACTGTGAGCAGGTCTGAAACCAGATTGAGATACAGGTAGCAAAGAGTTAAAGTCTAAATAGGATGAGAGTTGATTAAAAACAACTTTTTCTATTATTTTAGAGATGAAAGTAATATTAGTTACAGGTCTATAATTAGATAAAGAGGTAGGATCTAGGGATGTGTTTTTAAGAATAGGAATAACAATAGAATTCTTATAAGAAGTAGGAAATTTAGAGGTGGAAAGAGATAAATTAACTAATTTGAGAATGATTGGATAAAATATTGAAGAGAATTCTTTAAGTAAATTAGAAGGAAGTAGATCTAGAGAACAGGTTGTAGACGACATAGAATTAATAATTTTAGTTAGTTCTAAAAGATTTATTGGAGTAAATACAGAGAAAGATTCAGTAGTAAGTTTAGTAAAGTTATGAGAAGGAAAATTAGAATTAGATGTTCTTAAAGAAGTAATTTTATTTACAAAAAAGTCATGAAACTGTTGAGCAGAGAAAGATGAGTGAGAAGATTTTTTATGTAGGAGTTTAGATAGAACAGACCACCTATTTTCAGATGTTGAAGCAGATGTTATAGAATTTCTAAGAAAAGTAGAGTGTTTAGAGAATAGTAGATATTTATAATTAATCAATTCAGATTCATAGATAGAATAAAGAGAGTTAGATGGATTTAACCTATAGGCTTTCTCCACTCTTCTAACATGCAATGTGTGTGATGCATGCATTTGCGCTTATTCATACGTGCTGCTTATTTGTGTATGTCCTTGATATTTTTGAGAATTATTTAAAAGAAAATAATTAATAATGATAATATAATCTTATAAAATGTTGACATTGAGTGTGTGATTTTTCGTCTTTCTTAATTTTTACTGATTCAAAAGCTCTTTTATTCATTCTGGCCACGTTTCTGGTTCCATACAAGTAAGTACTCTTTCTTTATATTTCATCACTTTTATGCTTTTATTTTTAGGTTCAAGTCGTACGTTTGAATTTTTATATCATTTACACTTTGTAGGACCTCTAAAAAGAACATTTCATTTTGAATAAACCAAACATTTATTTCACTTTTTTTTGCTTAATATTTAACTTCATTTATCTGAACTATTGGCCCAATATATTGAAATGGCAAACTAAAATTTTAAATTGTTATTTATTCGTGCTACTAAAACTTTGTTCAATGATAAGCTGAATTCAAACCTGGACATAATTTTCGCTCGAACAATCCCGTTATATATGGGACGTTTTAATGAATGTACAAGTAGCAGCTGTGAGTAAATGTTTGTGTGTAAGTATGTGTATTTGTTTGTATGAGTGTGTGTGTGTATGTGTGTATATATATATATATATATATGTGTGTGTGTGTGTGTGTGTGTGTGTGTGTGTGTGTGTGTATGTGTAGATGTGTGCATATAGCAGGTGCAACAAACGCGGTTGAATAATAAGAAGCTCGTTTCTAATATTTATGACAGCTGTTTTATTGTACGAAGGATTAGTGTTATTGAATTTTTTTCTTATTTTGGTGGATTGTATTTTTATTTTTATACTTTCATTTGAGATATTTGTTTTTTTTAATGTACATAAATTTTTAAAATTTCGAGTGGTAATTGTTTTTATAAAAGGAAAAAATGATGAGAATGATGTGGTATTGACGCATCTAGTGAATCTTATTGTCAGTCGGCATGGTGTAAAGTTAAACAGAAGGAATGTTGGATGTGGATTTTTTTCAATATTATTTATATTTGCATTTAATTGAGTAAATATAAAAAGATTAACAATTTAACTTTTCAAACTTCAATAGCATCTTTCAGATAAATGATTTTTACAATCGGGATATTTTTATCTTAAATATATTGCTATATTTATATAATAAAACAGATGTAAATTATAATAACGATATAAAATCTACTGCAGATTCAAAGATTCATTGGCCACTCACGTTTGATTCTAATCTATACTGGTATATAACTATTTAAAGATATTTTTAAAGTATTAATAATATATATATATATAGTATTATATAATATTAATATATATTAATTTTGTGTATAGTGTATAGTATTTAATATATATTTATATCTGGGTATTTGCAGTGTATATAGCTATGTATAAATGTATAAAGATATAGGGTACATAAGTGTGTGTCTGTTTGTTTGTGTTTGTGTGTGTGTTGTGTGTGTGGTGTGTGTGTGTGTTTGTGAGTGTGTGTGTTAATTATTATAAAGTGAAGTAGGAAGTTCCTTGTTAAATGTAATTATCTACTCTCTCCCGAAACAACTTCGTTTCAAAAAAAGTTAATCGCTTTTAGTGATTGTACTTTTTAATGGCTGCTGTTTTTATTCCGTCGAAGACACTTTTTTTCGTTCTTTAATTATAAAAGTGGGCTTGAATAATTTTAAACATTTGCCAACTAAGATAGATTAGGCTTTTATCAAATGTTCAACTGGACAAATGATATTCTGAAATTATAAAAAAAAATAGTGCAGATGCTACCTCCAGGTTAATACAAACTTATGGAGTTATTGCAAAATGAAAAAAATGTGTCTGATAAAATACTGATTGTGTGAAATTTTGAAAGTTATAATAAAATAAAAAGTTAATTGAATTAAAAAAACAGTCGAAAATCTCTTGCACACCACAATCCAATTCCACTTAGTACGTGCGTGTGCGTGTGTGCGAGTGTGTGTGTCTGAGCGTGCGTGTAGGTGTCTGTGTGTGTGAGTGTGTGTTTGTCCATATAATTTACATGGTTACATTTTACATAATTATGCAGACCATATACTCAACTCATCCTCTCCAAGCGGTCACGTTTAAAAGCACTTGTCCCGATCATTTACTGTCTCAGTGTGATGCGACATTTGTCGCATATGTTTGAAATTCTCAACTTAAAATTTGATTTTGTTACTTTTTGCTAAAATAGTCGTTAAAAATGGAAGAAAATATGTTTGGAGTTGATAATGAGAGTTCGGTTTAAAAGTTGTTTATCGTCACGTTGAAAAATGTTTTGTAGGACTTGCTTTGGAGTTAAAAAATGATTTCCAGAGGCCGTTCGATTGCACTTGTTATCAAGTTTGCGTTAAATGTTTTCATTATTTTGAGAGAATCACTTGAAAATTAACTACGCCGATTATTTTAAATTCAATTGTTTTATGAAAAATGTTTGAAAAGTGTCATGTTTGAAAAAGTTTTGAAGCGCTGACGATTTTATTTGAAAGTTTTTGAAGAAAGTTTTAAGGTTTTATATAACTGTCAAAAGAATTTAGCAGCCATGAACAATTTTGAAAATACAACAGTTACCTTGAAAAACAGCAGTTTGCTATTTCGACAAAAGATTTACGATGATGACGAAGACGATGATGACTTCAACTTCACCTCAGACCACAACCTTCTCAACCACACGAGAGGAAGCAAAATTTTATCAACTTTCGAATTGATATTCTTAATAATGTGTCTGTTTGGCCTGGTAGGAAACAGTTACAACATTTACATTTTCTTCAGCAAGTGGCTCAACAAATTCATGGACAACGTTGAAAGGTGCACGACAATAGGGCTGATATACATGTCCTTCTCTGATGCTGCATTCTGCGTTATCTCCATTCCACAGATCCTGACATTCATCGTTCCAGAGAAAGAAAGTTTGTTTCTTTATTACTACAGCGTTTTCAGATCTGACTGCTTGAACATCATACTATGGAACAGCGCCTGGCTTGTTGCCATTGTTTCCCTGCAGAGGTTGGCCTACGTGTCTGGCTTCTGGAACGATCGTCTAAACGCCAAACCGATACGATTTGCGTTTCTTTGCGGACTCCTCTTCATCTTCTCCATCATCACCTTCCTGCCAAACTGCTTCAGTTACGAGATTGAAACAATCGTCGTAAAAGGCAAATCGCACAAGAAGGCCACGCCGAAACTTTGGTTCACTGTGCCGCTCTACAAAAATCTTCATTCCTTTTTCATAATTACGTTTGGACATCTTCTGCCTTTGACGCTGCTCGTTTACAGCAGCAGCCACCTGCTGTGGATTGTCTACAGGGCCAAACTGACCACGGACTCTAAAAAGTGCAGGAGGTCTCAGGTTAGAATATTTCCTTCTTCTTGTTTTAAAATATTAAACTAAACTCATTTTAAATAATTTAAATAATATATATATATATATATATATATTTATTTATTTATTTATATATATATGTATATATCAAATAAAACTAGGCCTAGTGATCACACAATAATGAACGTAATATAAAATGCTGTGAGCTTGAATGTGGTTTCCTTTGAAACGAATTTGTTTCCGCTTCAAGTTCATTCCTTTTGTGCGTGTTAGCCAAAAGAATTTGTTTTCATTGCTGTATAAAGTGCGAAGGATTTATTCAATGACTGTTGAAAGGAAGCGCATAAACAAATAAAATATTGTGACTGTTGTTTGTATATGATTCAATTTTCAATACGCTTTGCATGGCAAAAAAATCTTTTTCAGAGCACGCAAAATAAAAACTATAAACCATCTTGTGTAAGGAAACTCTACCATAATTAAGCAAGTTGTGGCAACAAATTGATGTACACCAAGTGACACGTCAGTTAACGACAACTAACGATGCATCTCAGATAATCTCAGATTACTTCCTGTCAGCCTGCTTGTTTCTACTCATGGCATCGCATTCAGCGAACATGTCGAGCATCAACCTATAGCACATCACATCAAAAAATTACAAATGAAGAAAAATGACAACGCATGGCATTTCATTTCTAGAGATCACAACTCAATCACACGACACCACAGGTCACAATGGTCATTTGGTTAATAGTGACCACATATCTCTTCATGGTCAGTCCCTCGATGATCGTCGAATGCATCATCATCATCAACGACGCAACCACCAGCGACATGACTGAGCAGGACAGCAGCAGCACCATGGACGTCCTCATATACATCACTCAATACCTTCAAACAGTTAAGTTCTCACTGAATTTCATACTCTACAGCATCTTCAACAAGAAATTCCGCAAAGATGCGTTTGCATGCTGTCCACGTCTAGCGCGCGGTCGCAATAATAGAAACAAATTCAGAATGTGATTTGAGTGGGATGCGAATGATTTTCATACCAATCCCTGTGAGTTGTACAGCCCCTGAAGTTGTTGAAACTTTTTATATCATGTCACGTGATTCAATGTCATTGTGCTTCAGTGCTGTTTTTGGAACAGTTATTATCATTAATAATTTAGCTGAAGTGAAAAAAAATTTTTTTAAACGTTTAGTTTTATTAGAATCAAATTGGTTAAACTTAGTTGTCCAAAAAGTTTATAATTTTTAAAGTGTAAAAATGAATAAAATATTAAACGCAAACGACTGGTTTTAATCACAACTATGCGACACACCCATACACACACGCGCGCGCGCTCATACTCACACACACACACACACACACACACACACACACACACAAACACAGAAACACACGCACTGATTCGCTTGTGAAGCTCGTTTTAAAATAACCCATCTTTTAAATTGAAAACGCTTGTTAATGTTCATAGCGTTTAAATTAAAAGAACAGTTATAATTAAGTACAAAACCAATCCTTTCGTGAATTTAAAACATATACAAACCAACGTGATGGCACACAAACTTGTATAAAAAATTAATTCTATAAAAATTAATTGAAAAAAATTAATTATAAAAAATGCAAAAAAAAATGTTCCGAATGTAGCAAGCAGTAATATTCGCTATAAACAGTTACATTTCAAATAATAATAGTTGGAATATCTTTTAAATCCATTCTTTAAAATTAATCGACTGCTTTAGAAGATGGAAGAGCATTCAATTTATCGATTCAACGAACGCATTGCGCTCCGAAACTAAATATGATTAGGACAAGCGAACATAAGTGGCATCGTTTTGCAGAGACAGAGAGATAGATAGATAGTAGAGAGAGAGAGAGAGAGAGAGAGAGAGAGAGAGGAGAGAGAGAAATTCCCTACATTCAATTCTGGGAAATGGAAAAAATATAGATGTTAATAAAAAGAAAGAGTTCATGTGAGTTAAATTGAACATGTAATTGAAGCTGGGGCATGAGACGTTGAAAAACTTTCTTTTAATTTTTCACTCATTATTTTTACTTAAAAAGATTAACAAATAAACAGAGAAAGTAGTGAACAAAATTCAAATTCTTGGAATTTAAGATCAACCGGGAAATTACTTTTCAACTAAAACTGTAACTTAATATCTGTGTTGTTTATCTAATCCTAAAATAAAAGAACGCACACACTCACACACACGCACACACACGCACACTGACACGTACAGACACAGACCAACAAACATAAAAACAAGAAGAAACATCTACATATCATCATACATACATACAATCACAACCATAATTTCATAACAAACATACACTCACACAGTCCCATGACAAAATCTTCTAGCAGGCAACATGGCAGCCAACATTTCAGTGCTCGCTGACAATAAGTTAATTTGCGTTCACGAATTATTCATGTGCGCTTCAACTGTGGAATGGTTCACTTATTATTCTCAAAAGTAATTTTTTCGGCAATTTGAATCAGTATCTGTCGATTTTATTCTCCCACGAATTGGTATCTGACTGTTTTATTCTTGCAAAATAACATTTTTTTATTCATGTCATAGAATTCTAGGCTGAAATTGCCTCATTTCGTTCATTTCTAACAAACTTACAACAATATACCGTGAGTAAGTTAATAAATGTGGATGCGTTTTTTATCATGTCTTTATTATAGTTTTATTTTAATACCTTCCACAGTGTATCCTGAAATAGATAGAATGATTGATATGCACTCATTATAGGTAGGTTGATTGATTGATCGATACACACTCATTAAGGGTAGACTGGTTGATTGATTGATTGATTGATTGATTGATTGATTGATTGATTGATTGATTGATTGATTGATTGATTGATTGATTGATTGATTGATTGATTGATTGATTGATTGATTGATTGATTGATTGATTGATTGATTGATTGATTGATTGATTGATTGATTGATTGATTGATTGATTGATTGATTGATTGATTGATTGATTGATTGATTGATTGATTGATTGATTGATTGATTGATTGATTGATTGATTGATTGATTGATTGATTGATTGATTGATTGATTGATTGATTGATTGATTGATTGATTGATTGATTGATTGATTGATTGATTGATTGATTGATTGATTGATTGATACACAATCATTTCAAATAAATTGAATGATTGATACGCACTAATTACAGATAGATAGATTGATTTATTTTTAACTCATCATAATGAACGCATAAGGTTTTAATACAACTGTGGGGAGAGATAAGGCATATGCTCCCCAATTAACATCATATTCAACGTGCTATAATTCAATTCCTATACTGAAATTCCAACTTTCAAACAATTGCTTTTATAACGAGAAAAAATATTATTGATAAAATTATAGAAAAAATAATTTCAATAAAATAATTTAATTTTAAATATTTTTAAAGCTTGAGATGAAGAGCTGAAATTTAGATATAAAGATTAGAAACTAAATATTTCTTTCTGATGTTTTTATTACTTTTTAATGCGGTTTCTTGCTATGTACTTTTTTTTTCTTTTAAATTTAATATTTTTAAATTGATATCTCTTATAGAAGAATAAATGAAAATTATTTTCGGCTTTGGTTTTTCAATTTGCTGAATAAAAACAAAAGTTTTTTAAGTTTTAAAATATTAAGAAATTTGAAACAAACACATTTATGTGGAAGATAATTTTCAATAAAACCAACATGCTCAGCCGGAGAAAGATTTTGTATAAGATGAAATAAATTTAGAAATAAAATTATTTTCCATTTGTCTGGAAAGACTTTCACTTTGTTACTTTGTTAGACACCAATAAAGTCATTTTGAAAATATTATATAAATTTTTTTTAAATAATTAAACTAAATTAAAAAATCAGTTAAAGCACGATGTATATGTGAATTGGATATTTTTAATTGACGCATAGCTCGGGGACAGCACTAACACTGACACCCACACTCACACGGAGAGACGCACACACACACACCATCGTATGCGTTGACACCTGAGACTGGAAAGATTAAAGAAGAATGGAAGGACGTTAGTTGAGATTCACGTCTACAGAAGTATTTCTGAGATGAAAATTTCTTGAGACCACGTTCATTTAAGACTAATAAAATATTTAATAATATATGTTTGTCTAAAGATACAGTTAGTAAAGATTAGGAAGGGATTGGAAAAACAGCTAATATGTACCATCTATTTGAAAATATTCGGAAATGTTATGGCCACTTAAATAAATGAACAAGGATTATTGCAAAATATATATTTAAGACGGGGATATATTTTCAAAGTAAACGAAATTCGCGGTTTTTAGCAATATTTTATTTTATTGAAAAGAAATATGTATTTAAAATGATATTGCTCTAAGCATCAATTTATATATTAAATTAAAATGAAAAAAATTCCGTCTTCTTTTTAAATCAAAATTGCAAAAAATGTTATTTTGAAATTTCAAAATTCAACTAAAACATGAGACGTGAGACTATCTACTAAAAAAGGGAAATTAAAAAATCTAGAAAATAGACCTACAACATCATGACAGAAAAATTAGATTTTCAGTCAGCAATGTAATTGAGCTCAGCGCAGCCTGACAGATCTATGGATCAGTTGTTTCTGAGAGTTTTGAAAGAGTAGGACTCTCTTGTTCTTGTCATGCTCACCTGTCCAGTGGCTGTAGATTTTCAGGGCTGATTCATCGATGATCCTCCTCAAGAAGCTGATGGAGTACGAACTGCCTGCGTTAGTCATGGACTTCGTGTTGCTCGCATCTGCCTGCTTCGAGACCAACTTGCGCATTCTAGAGATTGCTAAAGCCGATAGGGCTAATCGCTGTTGGTGTAAATCTTCTATTCAATTATTTTTATTCATTTTTTTGCAAGTTGCCGGCTGTTATTATTGTTTTGAGGCTTAGGACGTATTAAAAGTTGGAATTTAGCTGAGTGTAATATCGCACGAATCGTTTTTATAAATTTTCATTTGGGAAATTAAAGTTATTCTTCAAATTTTTTAAATAAAAGTTATAAAAAATTTTCACTGAAAAGTCTGGTCTCAAGTATAAAATAAAGGTAATTTTTGTTTTCCTTTTTTTCAACTATAAAATAAAGATTTTTTATTTCACGATGGTCAGCATTGGTCAATGCGGTTTGTATTCCACGATAGATTTAACATTCTGTTCAAAAAATGTTCTACTCGGGTGAACCTTGTATGAAAATTTTCATCAAAAAGTTCATTCCAAGTCACGCACGTTCGGAAAGACCATTAAATATTATTAAAACGAATTTTAAACCTTGGCTAAATTAAAAAAAAAGAACTTTCACGAATATTGTTATAATACTTTGAATTATTTTATTAACATTTAAAAAAATTTTAACATTTAAAAAAATTTTTAAATTTTTGGAATAAAATAAAAAAACCTTCAGTGTTATTTTCTTACGTAAGACTTCGTTCTTAAAAATTTAAAAGTTCAAAATTAATAAAAATAATAATATTTGAAGTTTTAAAATATTGCTTTTTAACTTTTTAACACCAAGTTCAATGAAATTTAAGATGAATTTAAGAATCTAACACCACACACAACTTCACATGCTTGCACAGTGTGTGTGTGTGTGTGTGTGTGTGTGTGTGTGTGTGTGTGTGTGTGTGTGTGTGTGGAGGGGGGTGGGGGGGGGTAGGTGGGTAGGTGTGTGTAATTTTGCGTGTGTGAGTAGTGATAATTCAGTGAGTGTTAACAATTTTTTGTTTAAGCGTTAAAGTTACTTTTGCAGAGAAAAAAGGATGATCGAGACATTTGTTGGCAGCCGGTCTTAGGTCTGCGTCCGTATTGAAGAGTTCTGACAGCTGCACTCATTAATTGATGGCACGAAAAATTCTCAACAAATTAACGTAAATAAATAATGAACAATACATATTTTATTTGTCGCATTAGCAAGAAGGACACTAAATAATTCATTCTGCAAACGTCAACAAAAAAAATTAAAAGGAAAAAAAACGTCTAGCTTTCCTTACTCAGCCTTCCCACTGGATTATGAAAACAAATTGACTCAATTTGTTTGGCACATTGTTAATAAAATTTAAAGCATCAACATAAGCAGGTTGCAAAAGTTTTAAGAAGGCACATCCTTGATTCAATACAGTATAATATGTTGTATATATCTTTAATTAATTTTTTGGTTTTTATTTTCCAGAAAATTCTCATTCAATGAAAAATAAAAGTAGTGACAAATTATATTAATGATGTGCCAGGCGCATAGCGGAAGCATAAATCACATTCAATTTGAACGGTTGCTATTAATTTCTGCGCAGATCAGTCTGGCCAAATTGTCATCATCGTCATGGTCCTCATCATATTATTTCAACTTTATTTATTTACAAATACTTATAAAAGTATAAAAATTGAAATAATATATAATGGTATTAATAAAAAAAATAAAAAAAAGAACGGTAATAAAAATGATAAAAATAACAACCAGATTCTTCGCATCTTTATCGACAGCGTTCCACACAGGCTTATTGAAATCCACATAACCAATGGACACGAGGTGCATCATTTTCGGCAGGTTGTGGTCCCAAAATGGAAAGTTTCCCGTTAATCTGGGCATTTGGGGTTTCGTTATTTTAAATTTGCAATCTTTAAGAAACGCAGTTTACTCTACGGAAACGCCATGTACCAATATTGTGGGAATGAATGAGTGACATAGCAGCCAGCATAGATGTTGCGCACCGCGTCAAAATAGCTGACGTGAATGATGAGGATTGAAGCGGGAAGGAGCTAAATGAACGAGTCCATAAATCATCGAGTTTGTGCTTTCGTTTTAATTTTGTAATTTGCACCCGATTTATAATTAACTAATTTGTTAATTTAGGTCAACATTTATAAAACTGTTCAAAAAGTGCAATTTATGCGCAACGACCAAGGTTCAAAGCAAGATGAATGAAGGAGTCCCAGCATAAGCAGGTTGAATGATTTTCGGAGGGTTGTAGAGTAAAAAATTTTCAAGAAAGACAACAAGTCTCACACGTTTTAAATTCTTTTATTATAAATAAATATTTAACCTATGTTAAATTTTTTTAAAAGTTTCAAATAAAAACGTCGCGAAATTTTTGAAAAAAGGAAAACTTATTTAAAACCAAAATAGCTTTAATTTTAAATACTAACAACGTCGCCATGACAACGCCGACAGCCCATCTGTGAACAAATGTGAATTTTGTAAAACACATTTTAGGTAAAAACATACATTAAAACAAATATTAATATAGTATATATAAACATGTGTGGTGTGTGAGTGTGATGATTTCATTTATGCGTGTAAAGTGGTAGCTAGTTAGGATATTAGTTGTTTTTATGAATGCGACATTTCCGGATTCGGATTCAGAGATCCGTACGAATCCATCACTTAGAATAGATCCTGATACTACAATACAAGATTTCCTGGATCCGTCCCATTCCTTGCTGTTTGGTTCGTTTATTTGTTCACCAGTTCATTCGTTCTCATTTCTTATGTTTTATAATTATTTTTAAATTTCATAATTCAATAAGAATAAGCAGGTATGAGGATATATTTTATTTTTACAAACATTTAATACAAAAAGACAAAAACCAACAGCATCTATCGTGTCTCCTCAAACACGACTGCAGTACGAAGAACTCGAAATAGCAACATGCCATATCGTGTGAAGCCAGTGTAGCGTACACACAATTGCAATTAATTTTATTGATGTATTAGGGAATGTTCATTCCATAACATATTGTATCCTGCACGAATGATAAACATTCCAATACAAACGTGACTCCAAGTCAATGATTCTTATCTTAATGAAAAATGGAAACACTGTTTCTTGAAATCTCCGCTTGCGCATTTTCTACAAGCGATTTTTTTTATCCAACATCACTGAAATACATTTTAATTCTTCAGAAATTTTGTGTCTATGTGTACAAATAAAATACAATTCCTTTAATTTTTCAGATATTTTCATTAAAAGGATATTTATTGTTAATAAAACAATTTCCGGAGTATCTGTCGCTCGGCATTTAGCATACGCTGCCGATGCTGGCGATGGATGATGAAAGTAGGTATGTGTAATTACTTTTTTGCATTTTCAGTTTGGAATGTTAAAAATGGATTGAAAACAAAATTTTTAAAAAATGAATAAAAATTTTTGACAGTATATTTTTGAAAATTTTGTAAATTTTATTCAATCTTAACGACAATTGTTTTTACAATATTTAGAACAACGCGAAAGAACGATAAAACTTCAAACTCACACCGCGAACATCTCACACCCTGAATATTTTACATCTTTGGTTAGCGCATCCAGATCTTATTCAATTGTTCACTCATCGATCGTTAGTCAGTTAATCATCTCGGACGAAATTAAATAATAGCAATGTTGGCAATGAATCATATGAAATTTGCATTTGCTTATTTATAAGTGATGAGGATTATAGTCATATGTGAGTAAGAAGTGTGTGTATGTGTGTGTGAAGGTATTTGTGCGTAAATTTGTGTAAAACGATGTGTGTGTAAAAATGTGTGTGTTTAAATGTGGTTACGTATCTATGTTTCATGTGGGTATGAGGTATTGCATGCTGCGGATGTCATGAATAAATCTTTGCCGTACGTGCTGTCTTGAGTTAAGTATGATTCATAATTTTGACTGCATGCAATATACTTGGTGATGACAGTGTGAGTGTATTCTATGATCATATGGTCGGTGTGATTTATTGTGTTGATGATGACAAGATGATGAGGAAGAAGATAAGAAAAATGATGGTTATAATAAAAATTATGACTACAGCTGCTGATGAAAAAGTTTACTGAGGTAATAGTAACTATACCGTGTTATTTGGTAGTGACAATGATGTTTTGGGGAGTGTTGATGTCATATTTTTATTATCATTGGGATAAACAAGGAAGTCTTTTGAGCATGACGTACAACAATCAAATATATAGAACCATCAAATATATACAACCATCAGATGTATACAACCATCAGATGTATACAACCATCAAATATATACAACTATCAAATATATACAACTATCAAATATATACAACCATCAGATGTGTACAACCATCAAATGTATACAATCGTTAAATATAACTACTTTTAATATAAACACCTTTGGATTCGATAAAATAACAAGATGAACAATTTCAATTTCAAAAATAGACGTACGTATATGTAGACATTATTCTACAAACACGTGATTTAATTTTTTTTTTTTGAAACAAATGAAAACTGAAATAAAATTAATAACGTTTGTTTCTTCTCCCGTACAGAAAAGATCTAAGCAATAATCTTCCCCCACCGCCCTCACTATCATTCTCATACTCCTCTTCATCCTCATCATCATCATCTTCATCATTATCATCATTAATTTCCGAAATAAAATTTCATTCAAACAAACCAGGTTAAGAAAATTAAATTAAAATATTTTTTCGCAACTTGGACCGAAGGCTTAGAAAAGTTTGCCTTACAAATCTCATCACAATTCATCAACCCGCGATAGCAACTGTCAGTCACTGTGAAACATTTTTATATTGTGTGTGTGTTTGTGTATGTGTGTGTGTGTGTGTGTGTGTGTGTATGATGTGTGCGTAGCAAGAATCATCATCATCAAGCAATGAGTGATGATGATAATAACGATACCAAACACAGGACGATTTGAAACGAAAATGATGATAATGACGATGATGATAATTGATAAAAATGTACTGATGTGGTGTAATGATGTTATGTTGATGGTGACGACGATGATGATAATATTGCAATGCAGTGGTAATGATGTTGATGGTGACGATGATGATAATGTAGTGATGATGACGACAGGAATGATAATAGCAACAGCCAATCATCATTTCTAATGGTATTTAAACAAAAAGTTGTTCCTGCTAATTAAGCAAACAAACTGCAGAGCGAACACAGCCTAAACTCCGTACGTGACTAACAACACACAAAAACGACATAGTAGTAGGTATTTCTTAATGTATGTATAATATTGATAGTTACATGTATAACATTGATAGTTGCATGTACTGCAATTATAGGCGTATTTTTACATTTGTGTATTTAACGGGAAAGAAAAGTATTTTTTTAAAGGAATATAGTTAGAAATTTAAAAATAGATCTAAAAGATGCATTATAATCAATTATAATGATAATATAATCAATATTATCATTATATTTTTTATTCTGATGAATCATATGAGAGGAACAACACAAAAAGTTGCCAATGGTACGACGATGATGATGATGAGGCCCGAAATGAGAAATACATTTTCGGTTCTGTCATCACTACCATCCTTATCATCGTTGCTAGCATGTTGTTATCATTATACTGTCATCATCATTTCTATAATTATCGTTAATAACTCACTCACACATGTGCAACAATGTCGAGAGCAACATATAAACATAAAACCTGGAACATACGTCATATACGATACGTCATTCATACGTCATCCATACATCCGTCATACGTAGTACTAAAGTGGATAAGTAGACAAACGTAAACAAACACAATAAAAGTATATGAAACAAAGCAAACAAACATAAACCTCTAAACAAACATATACAGAGACAAATAGACAGACAGACATGAGCATATAAATACATACAGAGGCAAACAAAAACATAAAGAAGCAATGTAGACATAAACAAATATATAGGCAAAGGCATACAAAGACATAAACTAAGAAGTAAGCACAATCGTTAAAATAAATAAATAGAAACACAAACATAGAGAACATACATATCAGATGGTCTTCCATGGCCAGTGTCTGATCTATGCAGTATCAACTCAGCCAATTCAGGAGACATGTAACTCAACGAGCCAGTTATGTCTTCACGTTTTTTTCAAAATAATAATATAACATATAGTGTAATAGTTAAGACGCATAGTCCTGCTGCTGCTGTTTGTGTGTGTGTGTGTGTGTGTGTGTGTTTGTGTTTGGGTGTGTGGTGTGGTGGTGTGTGTGTGTGACAAACAGTTAATAAAGAATCAATGACAATTTTGGTAATAAAAAATTTTGTAATGAGCTATAATGAATAACTTTATTATCCAAAATTGGATTGAATCACCATTTAAATATCTTTAATATAATTTTTTACTTTAAAATTTAATAATCTGGCAACCTTTCAAATCTGTATCGCTCTTTACGTGACGGGCCAAGCTGAAATCAGTAAGAACAACCTCGTAACTATCATTCATATAAATGGATTCCAGCTATTTCAGGTTCGAATATTTTATTTTAAAAAACTTTAAAAAGCAATTTAACTGAAATTTATAGCAAATACAAACTAAATTGACAAAAAACCAAATTGTTTAATATAATTAATAATAAAACTAGTAAATTTTTATATCAGAGTAGAATACCTTAACATTACGATGCACGATCATTTTGTCATGAATGTAATTCAAAGCCTGCAGCAGCTGGGAGATAATTTTTCTTAAAGAAAAAAGTATTTTAAAATATAAAGAAAAAATGTTTGGATTAACTAACGGAAAATATTTTTTTTAAATAATAAATTTTAGAATTATGAAATGTAAAAAAGTTGGCCATTTCTGGGATAATTTCAACATACACACAAGTGATAAAATAGTTTGAATATTTATGGTTTATTTTTGAAATATTTAGAGCTTTAGACGATGGATAGGTGTGATAATTTTGGTTTATTCATGAAAAAATTGAAAGCTGTAAAGTATGTGCGTTCGTTTCGTTACCTGACATGTTGGATATGGAGAACTCCCTTTTTTGATAAGAAGCTGTTTAAATCGTGGGGTGGCAATCTTGAAAAATAAAAATAAAATAATATAAATAAAATAATAAAATTTATTTAACAAATAATAGAATAAATAACAAAATTAAAACACAAAATATATCGTAGGTATAAATGATGAAAAATTAATTAGTGACTTTTGTAAAGAGAGATGTGATAACATGGCTGTGATAACTGATAATGAAGAAGAGGATTATGGTGAGAATAATGATAATGGTACTGCAAAGTGTCAGAAACGTTGTTACTTTTCCGTGAGTATGATCAAATGTGATGGAGTTGTGAAGACGGACAAAACTTTCACTAGAGATAAAAGAATCAAGTTAAATCAATTGTGATCTGCCCATTATAAAATAACATCCTAATTAAATAAAAAATATAATAATTATTATAACTAATTATAATCAATAATTATTAACATTATTTGTAGTATATATATATATTGTAAAAGAATTATCCTTAATTTAATAAAAAATAAAATTTAATTATTCAAGACAACCCAACTATCTGATAAAAACGCAGGTAACGTTGTAAGTAACCCTAGCCCAAACTGTAAACTTAATTTCTGTCATCCGAAATGAAAAATTTATTTTTCCAAAAAGACACTGACAGATATTTTCGTGTCCAGAGCAGATCTTCATCATGTTAACTTCATTGTTGTGGTTTTTGGCGGGCTCCTTATCAGCGGACGAACCCTGTGCAACGGCAGCTGTCAGATCAATTATTTTTGACGAGTAACTCTCGGAGGATTTCTTCTTAGAAATGCAATTCCTTACCACACTGTTCGCCCCTCTGTGGCAAGGAAAAAATAAAAAGCCATTTGTACTGTCATGTATGCATCATCTTGCATATATATTTATTTAAAAGCCATTTATTTCTATATATTAGAAGTTTTGTTAATGTCGAATTGGCATTTGTTTCTGCTTCATATTGGGTAGTTTTTGATTGGAATCTAATATGATTCGCTCATTCGCTTTGAATAGCATGCACGCTTTTTGGTAATTAATACTGACGATGAAGTTATGCAACGAGCTACGAAGCTACAAATACAAAATAATGTTAATAAGGTACTAATACATTAGAAAATTTGGTCAAATTTTATGTTCGAAAAATGCTCCTACAAGTCTAGACAGCAAATTATTTTAAATTTGATAAACGAACAACCTCGAAACGTAGCCCCTCAGGTCGTAGTTCGAGTAAAAATTGTCGGGAGTGGAGAAAGTTTTCATTTTAACTGGCTAGCCCTTCTCTTGTACGTAGCAAAATTACCAAATTATAATTATTTATGAAATTCTAACTGTTTTTATTATGAAGCATAATTATTTTAGCTATAATTGGTATCGTACGGCCGACTACTTAATTAGTATTAATTTTATCATTTGTTATTGTTAGACATTCATTAAAACACGTTTGAAACGTAGGTATACATAAACAAAACCAAAAAAAGCTAAATTTATTTCGAAACCGTCTTTGGAAATATAAAAAAAAAAGATTATCTGCATGATTTAGATAAAAATTTTAAAAACGAAAAAGTAATTAAATTTTTTAAAAATTATTTTCTCCCATCCACGTCAATGATCTTTATTTGCCAGTGGGTTCAAAATCTTTCAATTTGTTTGGAATATAATCCACAGGATTTCTGTTTGAAAATAAAAGAAAGTCTGCATTTACTATAATTTCTTATCGTTACTATTATTATTATATTTATTTATTATTATTTATTATTTAGAACGTTCTCATCACCGCCATCATCATCGTCGTCGTTTAATTTTTATCATTATTTTTTTCAGCTCTTATTTTTTATCAGCATCACTTTTTTTCATGTTTCCGTAGTCACCATCATTTTTTAATTTCAACAGTACAACAGTAACACAGCAATAGAAGTTTAAAAATCTACGCTTGTGTATTCATCGTTATTCAAACTGTCATCATTAGCCATAATACCAGTTACGTACATCCAAGAAATGCTAAATCTAATCTGATATAACTCTGGTTTCTCTTCATTCCACGAATAAATCTTTCACCTTTTACAAACATAATCTGATATCTGATACTTAAGATCTAAATCTCATTTTGTATCTTACGAAGACGTTCGTTTAAATGAACAAGTGTCAAATGAACAAAGGTGTTAAATGGGACATAGATACCACCTCGTCCTTAGTAACAACTAATGACAGTCAAAAAATAACAATGACATCACCATCGTCACACGAAACTAACATTTCTTTGCCGTTTAAGCTATCAACAAAAATCATCATGCTCTCTTTAAACCATTCATTCTGTTTGGCCTTATTCATTACTGTGGAAAATCACAAAACCAGATGTTAGTGTCGAGTATTTATCAATGGCTATCAATTAACTAACTAATTAATTCATTCATTAATTAACAAATTAATTAATTAATGCAATTAGCCCAATTAAATGTAAGTGAACCGACCAAAATATCTGAAATGTTTAATAACGGCTTGTATGTCGAGTACAGATTTTGTTGAAGTGTCAATCTGCAGCCCAACTAACCATTTCGTCAGGCATTCGCCAAACTTGTTTCTGTAACTATGGTCGATAATTAGGTACAAAGTTGTCATCAATATCATTATTATCGTCATCATCGCGTTTATTATCATTTTAACAATCACTACTACAACATTCAACATTTTCATAATGTTTTTCTTTTCATAATGAGTAAAAAAGTGAAACTGAACTTACGTGAATGAAGTTGGATGCACTTGCAGCTCTTTTATCATGGAGTTCTTGCTTAAATCGATGACAAAATATCGAATTTTTGACTCGATCAATCCTTGCCTGCCAACATAACGAATCATTTTAATTTACGTCCATAATTAGTTGAGGTTATAATCATAAAAATATTATTACTGCCTTATGAAACTAAAAAATATTACTCTGACTCACCAAAATGTTTGATCTTGTTGGCAATCGGAAGTTACGATTATAGCAAGGAAAAATCTGAAAATAGATTATTAAAAAATTAATCCGATTCAACCAACCCAAACAACATCTCTTGACAGATCGAGTTGAATCATATTTACTTGAAATCTTCAGAGAATGTGGACATTTTGAAGAATGTATCCCAATTAGAATCTCTTCTTTCAATTTTTTTTACAACTTCAAGAGCTAAACGCAAGCAATGCAATGTTAACCATCACCATGTTAATATATTAGCCGCGATTAAAAATAATATATACCTTTGAATTATACTTCTATACTAAAGAGAAAATTGAAAAAAATAAAAAAAAAACGAAAAAGTGAAAAACATTTTAACCATCTTTGAGATGCTTGACAATAACTTTTTTAGTTGCTAGCGTGACATTATATGTGCAGTTCTTGTGTGGAAAGTCTGGCGTTATGACGGGCATTACTTGGTCTCCGCCAATCTGACCAAGTTTCGTCAATTTAAAAATTAATATTAGATTTAAAAAAACTATGAAATAGTCTTATTAAACTTATCGATATTTAAAATACGGTCGCTTTTAGACCCGAATAAGACAACTGTAACCCAACCATGTTTCAGTTTTTTTTATAACATCGGTGGTATATATATATATATATATATATATATATATATATATATATATATATATATATATATATATATATATATATTTATACTACATTCTATCCACATGTAAAATTTAAATACAACAAAGTAGTACAAAGTATGGCATACGTGGCGATTCCATGATTGGTGATTAGATGAACCTTCTTGTACGTAGGTCAAGGTTACAGGCTCTGGCCAAGGCCTGGTTGGTTTGTCAAAATGAATATTATAACATCTATTTAATGCTTCTCCATTTATGGTCAAAAACCAGTTATTGCTAATTCAATTGAATTCAATTCAATTTAATAACTGATAAGCATGAATTGATGATGCATTACCATTCGCTGAAAACCTTATAAAACATTTTAATGCTTTGAAACACGTCGAGATTTTCAAAATTCGTGCAAATGTAGGCGCACAGTATGCTGCAAGATGTCCCACTCAAGTAACCAAGAGTATTTGAGTACAGACCTTTTCCTTAATTTGGAAAAATTTCTATATTTATTTCATTTTTTATAAAAATTTTAAATTAAATAATAAAATAACTATTATGTATCAATTCAACTTTACTTTTGGTCCATAGTTTAATACAGTTCAGAAATGTGACAAATTTTTTCTTATTTGGAATTAACTTCAGAAACGTGTCGACGCTTTTTAAACCTGTTTGGCGAGAACATTAAATCAATCATTAAACTAACATGGCATATAATATTTTCATGAAAGCATTAAAAAATAGGCGCATCAGCTAACCTAGTTAAGTAATTATAGACATCAAACCATACATCTAACAGAAAATCACTACATGCAAAAAAGTAATTTCAGCGTTTGAAAATAATCTGGGATCTACTTGCGCTCGAGTTAGGACACTGCAACATAGGACACGGCACTCTTAACTACTGAGCCATGAAAAATATAAATAAACTAAACATACCGATGTAAGATTTGATACTAATTTCATCCATTGAGTTCATCAACTTTGCGTCTAAATAATCTTCAGGAAGGATTTCCCTGTTCACAATGGCCAGAGATATGTCAACCTTGTGAAATAAATCAAATTCGTTGAAATTTAAGCAGATGAAGATAAAACAACATAAAATAAAAAGTTCAAAAAGAAGCGATTATAAATGAAATAAATTTTCAAGTCAAATAAATCGCCTTAAATCAAATTTTAATCATCTTAAAATAGTCAAAATTTTGCAGACACCAACAGATGAGTTTTTAGATTTACATTGCCGTTTTCAAGCAGGTTTCCTACCAAACTATTATTTGCCATATTATTTGCTCGCGGAATGTATATAGCCACAAATGGAAATAAGTGAAATAATACGTTACGTAAACTATAAAAATACGTACATCAACGTCGTTCACATTCATCTTTATCAGCGGACATATTGATTGTTCAACGGCCTTAAAAATACATATTCGTATTATAATTTAATCTCTCTTAATCATTTCTCAAAGAAATCAGCACACACACACCACACATACACCACACACACACACATACACGTGCTGTGGGCAGCGCTTGAATCCACGCATCATATCACGCACATTGTATGTGATATGCGGGGATCTATTAGCATTTTAACCCAGCGCTACAACAACGGAACCAGAACCAAGCGCCTTAACCATTCCACCATCTACTATTTGAATTAAAAATTTTATAAATCATTCACTATAATAACTAAGGCTTCCATAAATTAACAATAAACCAAAAAAAATTTGATTTATACAAGACAATTCAGAATAAAATCCATGACGTATTCCATCGAAACTTACATAAACACACTTAACAGCTGGTTCTCTCTGAAGGTAAATTTTGAAATCCTTAAAAAAAGAATCACGTGTGAAGTGCTTTGATAGCAGGCAGACTAAATCTACATCTGAATCTATCGAAAATGTAAAATTATTAATAAAAAATAATAATAATTTAATAAAATATCGTTAAGTTAACACACAAAAAAAAACAAATTAAAAAAAAGACTTTTAGAAAAGCATCCCATGGCATATGATCCACTTGCAAATAACTTTGCATAACAAACTGAAGACTTGCTATCAAGATTCAAATCCTAAAAAGTGTTTGATTTTATTTGTGAAAATATTTTTAAAAAATCAGAAAAAATGAAATAGTGTGAAAAAATAATTGTTACAAAAATTAAATAGAAAATATTGTCATTATAATTATTTATTTAAAAAAAAATCAAAAGACATTATTTACTTTTTCTTTAAAGAATTCCTCAACCCAACCATTGAGTAGTGATTGAACAGTTTCTATGGCTAATTTTCTTAAAATAGAATAACTCATTAAAAATTAATTTCAATGAAGTAAAAACATATGACTTGCAATGAAAATAAATGTGAATAACAATAAAGAATAAGAAAAAAATTAACTTTCACTGTGTAAATGGATGATAATTAATTTATCATTTGTTATGTTGTAAAAGCAAAATTTTTTCTTTAATAAAATTACAAAAAATTCACCTGATCCTAAAATCATCTTCTTTTGCAACAAAACCATTCTCATCCAAATAACTCTCTAACTCATCAATATTTGACATTTTTAATTATTTATTTATTTATTTATTATCTAATATTACTATAAAAAAAATTAAATGTTAAATATGCCTATCACTAGCTAACTATAGTTTAAAAACATCAAGTAAATAAAACATAGCATTACATATATATATATATAAACAATTGTAAAGTTCTTGAATAAATAAAATAAAAATAAATATCTGTAACAACCAATAAAATGCAGTGATGGTATTGTTTGCATTGTTTGCTTGCTTAGATAGATCTATAAGATGATACAAATAAAAATATATATAACATAGAAAATACAATCAGAGACTCAAAATAACTTATGAATATTCAAACAGTTTTATCTAAATTATTTAGAATGATTGCAAACATAATCTATGACTTAATATTAATAAATATTACTATATTTATATAATAATATCATAAAAAATCGTATATACTATATAACTATAATATACACTTTAAATAAAACATAACATAATCATGATGATAATCTTATGAAATGAATAAGGTTTTGTTTTCACAACAAAATAGATAGCTGCATGATATTAACTAACTAAATAATAAACTCAGATAAATCTGTCACATGAAATGAAACACCTGATAATAAATATAAATTATAAATACAATTTAATAAATTATAATTATTTTTTTATAATATTTAAAAATAATAAATTTAAATATTCATGAATGGTTCTTATATATATAACTTTTTAACTTTATTTGAATGAAACACGAACGGCACTACAAACATAACCGAAAATAGTTACAAGATGACGGTCAAAATGCTGGTACCAGATTAGCTGTGGATGGCTTTTAAATGATTGCGCAATGTTTGGAATGACTGAAGCTAAAAGTGAATGTAATTGAAATGATTTTAAAGTCGTTATTTGAATAATATAATATAAAATATGACATATATATATATATATATATATATATATATAAAGTGTGTGTATATTTTATTAACATTGATACATTTTCTCCTATTGACAATTTATTTTATTTTTATTCTAATTTATTCTCGTTGCGTTATCATTGAGAAGCTATTTTGAGCTGCACGGTGGCCGAGCCCACAAGAATTAATTTTCTTTTTTTGGTCTCCGAATCATTCATGCTTTTTGTTTTGTTTGATTGAAAATAAAAGTGATTTGATATATATATATATATATATATATATATATATATATATATATAGATATATAGTCTACATATATGCTTGAATATCTTTTTATTATTGTTGTTGTCATTATTTCTTGAATTTATAGTTTATTTTTGTGTAAACCTGATGAATGAATGTAATCTATACAAAAAAATTACTTTAGTAGGAAAACTGTCATGTTTTTCAATCGTCTTTCTTAAAACGTCTCATAAAAAATGTTTCACATGGGACTTTACTGTTTGACGTGGTTGAACATTAGTTCATACCATACAATAAAAATGGTTAGCCTATCTTCCTTTTGATGCCTATTTAACCGCATTTGCATCTTAGAATAATGCATAAACCTCTTTTAACAACTTTCAAAATTTTATTCTAGCTTGTGTTGTTTCAAATCAAAAGTTAAACACTTTACACTGTGTTGAGTTCCTGCTAATGATTCGCACGCATTTGGAAGTTTCAGAGCGTAAAATATCTACCTAGGTAGTACGGACTTGCAATGGTATTAAGTTGGTGCAGTCAAGCGCACCATGGACATTTTCATAAAAGAAGAAGATTCGCTTCGCCGAGACACTGAAAATAGCGTTACTGATTTATAAGAAAGAGAAAAAAACCACACAAAAATAACTATTCATTTTCATCCACAAACTTCGTTGAAACGTTTTCCGGTGGATGTGAAAATGACGACAAACTAACGAAACAACAAAAATTTGATGAGAAAATGTCACTGTATTGCAATACGGCAAATTATTTTTGTTTTGCCAGTATACCAACATATAAACATTTTAAAAGACCTCAGAGGCGCTAACGATTATTACAATACGAATGGTCGAGTAATTTTGTAGTTTGCGTTACTAACAAGCTTTACATTTTCCGAAATGGAATATAGTTCGTTTATATTGAGCGGATCTCGTGGAATTTTCCATTGTTCAACAGGATTTCTATTTTGTTCTCTTGCCTCTGAAATTTGCGAATGATAAATTTAATTTTTGATAGTTATTGCATGTTCACTGCACACGTTTGGTTAATATAATAATATTTGCTTAAAATTACTCAAATTTTAATTTGAAATTTGTTTGAAATTTTGGTGTTTGAATTTATTAACTCTAAAAATTTAAGAATATGCGACTATTGAGAAAAAAACTCTTACAGCGTTTATTGGTCTGCTGGCTGTCGTAGTATTCTAGAGAAACAGAAGGTTCTTCCTGGTTTGTAACACTTTGCAACAGTTATTCCTACGCACACAGGTACGTTATTGTCCGGTCCGGTAATGATACTGATCAGTATCTAACTCTCTGTGAACTGGAGGTGTATGGTCGGTAATTAATTGAAAAGCAGTGTCAAATAAATAATTCGACGGTTAGCTTTAGCTTTCAGTTAAACTATTTTAGATCAACAGAATGTCATCTGTTTTTATTTTTTGATGCTAAATACATTGCAGCTCCTATTTGTTTTTATTTTTGTAACATAATATAACATAATAAAAAAAACTCTGTTTGACTGAAAGTTTTTATGTTTTTGTTCTGTTGATATTAACAAATATGTTGTGGAAGTTTCAAATTAAAACAATTAAAATATTTAATGTTACCCGTTATTAAATAATATTTTAACAATGTATTGACACCTTATACCGAAATGCAGTAAGTTAGAGAGACTACAACATATACGTTTCATTTCATATGAACAACTTCGAGTAACAAAATGTCCGCATTGAAATTTGTGCCATCATTAAGTTTAATGGTGGAATCAGTTTTGTTTTTATATTTATTAATTATAAAAATAATTTCTAATTACTGACTTTTTTATATTTTGTTGTAAAAAAAACATGGTAGTTTTATAAATGTTATGGGCATATTTAGAAATAAAATAATTGTTTCAATTTAACTTTGATAATTTGATCTGTCAATAAAACACAATCCTTGAAAAGCCCAGTATATATAATTTTTGTTAATATTTATATAAACATATCATTTGCTAAACTATATTCTACTAGTTATATTCAAAGCATTTTATCACGCATAACACACATCATGAGAAACATGTTTGTTCATGACAAGAAATTTATAATGCATGCGTTGTTTTATATTTGCTCCATCAGTCTTCATGTAAAGAACAATAGCTCTGGTAAGCGGGCATGGCAAATTTCGACTTAGTAATTGAGTTTGCATTGGGTTTTTTTCTTTATGTAACTGTTCATATGTTGACATCCACTTTTCATTCATGTGCTCTGTGCAACATGCTATTTATTAGTGTAATTTAAAAAAATATTTAAATATAATTTTGTTGGTTGGTTAGTTAGTTAAAAAATTGATAAAAAAATTAGATTTCACCAAAAATTGTAAAAAAAAAACTTCTAAGTTATAACATGGCAGCAAGCAAAAGAGCAGCGTTGAGGACGAGATTCCTCATCCTGGTGATTTTCTTACAGCAAGTTGCACGAATCGATCTCTCAATCTGGCAGCCCGGACAGTGGAACAAAGAGTTCTACGTTTGCTCCCAAGATTATGTAACCAGTGTAACAGCAGTTCCCGGGAAGAGTTTGCTAGAATGCGCTCTTATGTGCGCCACTTACCTATCTCCATGTTTATCTTTCAATTTTATCGTCGGAAAAAATAGTTGTCAGATCTTTCCGTACCAGTCAAGACACTTCACTGTTGAGAGGCAAGCCATTAAGAATTGCTCGTATTATTTCCAAGTCAGTTTTTAACTTTTTTCTATTAAATTTTCACTTTTTATGATGGTTGCTTAAAACTTTTTAATACAAATTTAAATTAAAATTTAAACAGAACAGCGATAATTTTCTTGAAAGTTAGTTTTTGCGTTTATTAAAAAATGATTTTTGTAAATTCCTGTTTCGTTTGAATGCACATGTTTCAATTTTTACGCTTTTATAGTTCTAGATATGTAAAATATTATGTTTCCCATCCCAAAAATTGAAATAAACATTTGAAAATTTTATCAAGATCAATGCAATAACAACATTATAATCAGTTCCAATAGCCAACATCGCCCTCCGCAAACCTGCCTCTTCTCCTCCAGTCTATCAAAACACCAGTTGGTCCTATGCAACAACTGCAGTGGATGGCAATCGGAGCAGTCAGTATCTAATCGTTGGGTGCTTCCATTCTGATACGGGTCCTCCAAACTGGATGGCTGTCGATCTCGTGACCTTGTATGCCGTTTATTACGTCATGCTGGTCAGTCGAGATGTTGAAGGTTGGATTGCTTGCAAGTTCAGAATTCGAACAATTTTTATTTTTTTCTGTCTCTTTACAACACAAATAATAGTAAGATTATATACCAATATATATATATATATACTAGTATTGGCAAAACATTTATATCAAGTTTTGTTGAGAAACTAATCAAAGAGAAATGACATGAGCCTGACACCATCTGCATGCATGCAAACAGATTTAAGTATTTCATGTTTGAGTCAAAATTTTTCGGAAATATTATTTTTAAAACAATCATAACAGTCAAAAATAAAATAAAATAAATTTTTAGCCTCATAAAGACAGCTCTTGAAAACGGTTCATGTGGGTTACAAACACTTAACGTTTTAGCTTGTTAGCAAATTGAAGTTATTTAATAATAAATTATAGGCTCCAGACTATCCAGATACATAGTGGGACTGAACAGGAGTTTGAGATCAGTCGTGAAGAGATGGGACTACGACCTCTGTGGACAGTATCCCAGAGCTTCGGATATTTCAACCTGGTACATAACATTGTGCAACAGTTATCCGTATGCACACAGGTACGTTATTGTGCAGTCTGCTGATGATACAGAGCATTACCTAACTGTTTGCGAGTTGGAGGTGTACGGTCTGTAAGTAGCATGCGTTTATATCATTTCATATTTTCTCATACTTTCCATTTTTAATCTACACTAGCAATGAAAACTATTTCATAAAATTAGCCATTATTTATACAGAATACCAATTAGTTTATTTACTACTAAAATAAATGAATGTTTTAATAAACTTTATCATTTAGATTTATAATGAATAACTGTTTTTCATATATTATACGTACATATTTTTAATATCTTAGGTGTAGAAATAAACTTTTAAAATTATTTCTTATATTTTTTTATCAGGTAATTTTATAATTTTTTGAAGTTTATTTTGGATAAATATTACCAGTTTTTTTATTTTGTGTGTGCATGTACGATTGATGATGAATGATGATGACCATTATGATTAGGATGGTGACCATTAAGATTAGGATGGTGACCATTAAGATTAGGATGGTGACCATTAAGATTAGGATGGTGACCATTAAGATTAGGATGTTGACCATTAAGATTGGGATGGTGACCATTAAGATTAGGATGCTAATTATTAAGATTAAGATGGTGACCATTAAGATTTGGATGATGACCATTAAAATTGGGATGATGACCATTAAGATTGGGATGGTGACCATTAAGACTAGGATGGTGACCATTAAGATTAGGATGGTGACCATTAAGACTAGGATGATGACCATTAAGATTAGACATTGTGCGTTGGCATCATCTGTCATGCTTTGTTTAACGGTTTTAGCGTCATTATTATTATTATCATCCTTCTTCTCATTTTCATCCTCATCATCATCCAATTAGGAACACAAAAACGAAATGATTAATGAACAGTTGAAAGCTTTTTTGAATTTATCCATTCGTGCAAAACTACCATTAGTTAACGATATTTTACCTTATTCAACAGAAATGCTATTTTATTGTATACATATCTCTTATCGTTTAAACTAAAATGTTTGAAGAAGTCATTCAGTATTTGACAAATGCAACAATGATCAATATATCAACCGTCCTCTTTATCATTGCTTTTATATACATATGTCTTTATGAGTATATGTATATGTAATTATCTTTGAAAATATCAACAAATAAATGTCTGTTTTTGTTTCTATATACGTTTCTATGGGTGTATAGATCTCTAATTATCTTTTTAAAAAATTTAAAATAAATACGTATTTTTTTTAATATTTTATATACTACATATTTTTCAGAAATATATAAAAAGTGTTTTTTAAGTTTTTAAAATATAATGCACCAAACTGAAGCCCTCACACACACACAACATACACACTCTAAACTCACACACTCTAAACTCACACACATACACCCCACACTCAAAACGCACGCACACACACAAACACACTCAAAACGCACACACAAACACACACGCACACATGTAGGTAGAGTTTTTGCATATCTACCAATCGTTTAAAACGCTTCTTCATCATTTTGTACCCGCTCGGGCAAAGACATTGTGCGCTTGCATCATTTTTCATGCTTTGTTTAACGTTTTTCAAAATTGTCATGATCATATATATTGTTGCATGGTTTTTATCATGCCTTCTACATGGAAAGTTTAACATTAGTAGCATTATCATCAAAAGAATTAATTGTCAGATGGAGTGTTTTGTAATTAAAAACCCAATGAAACAATCAACAGTGACGATGATGACAATGATGATGAGGAGGAGGAGGAGGAGGACGACGACGACGATGATGAAAATAACGACGATGATTAGGATGAGGAGATGGTGGTGGTGATGAGAATATTCGAATTAACCATAAAAATCAGTCATGTTGTTATTGTTTTTGATATCTGTCACTATTGAGTATGTAATCCATGATATAAGCACTGCCATAAATATTGTCAAGCATATAAAAATACATCCACACATGACATACTTCTTCTTGTCTACCCTCCCCCCTGTTCTAAGACCTAGCGAAATCAATTTAAGTTTCTTCATATTATAAATATATTTTCTATAGTTAAATTAATCAGCTACAAAACAATTGCAGTACCATTTTTCAACACTTAAAACGAGTTCTCGAGAATGTAAGTTTAAAACTAAGTCTCAAAATTTGCAAACATTTGAGATTGCAAGCAGCAGAGATTGAAGAAGAATTCAGCAATGAATTAATCTATTAATTAAATAATAATTTTATTCATTTTTCTTTTTAATCATTACTTTGTTTTATCTTCCACACTTTTCGTGTTTAAACATTTTTCTCCGTTATTTATTTTTCGTTATCATTTTTTATTGCATGCTGTAACGGTTTCTGCCTTTGTCAGATTCTGATTTTTTAAAGAATAGTAATAAAGAAATGAGCACCAGAGGGAGCACAAACTGACTTGGCACAAAATGTCAATCATAACAAGCGTTGGAAGAAATTTGTTTTTGATATATTTATAAAATATTCAGAAAACAGCCAAGAAAGATTAAATTTGTGAATGGAAGTACGCGAGGAAAATGATCACATGCTTAAGTGGAATAAGTTAAAATAAGAAAAAAATGAAATAAACATAAAAAGATATATTTAGAAGAACATAGAAAACCTAAGTTTATAAATTTATTACAATTTTAAATGAATAGGAAAGGTTAAAATGAGAAGAAAAGTGGAAGAAGTGAAAAAGACAAAAAAAGATAACAATACAAAGTTTTAAAAAATTATTAAAAACCAGCCAGAGATGTCAAAATAGAGCAAATTGTAGAATCTTGAAATTTGTCGCAGGTGTAGTGTGGACTAGATGCTTTCTTATTGGGACCAAATATAAGTGATGAATTGGCTATAAAATTAGTTATAGAAGAATTTAAAATCACCGTAAAAGTTTTCAAATAATGCGCCTTCGTGTATAACCTCAAAATTTTACTTCAACTTACAAAAAAAAGTATCATTCTATAAACAGTATTTGTACTTCTGTGCTAATCGCATTCACTAGCTTTAAGCGCTTTTCAGGCAAACAATTTACGCTAGTTTTGATGGAAAATTTATGGAAAGAGTGAAGAAAAGTTTTTAGATTTTAAAAAGCAAAATAATTTCAAAAATATTTCACCACCACAAACCTTGTATTTTTGCTACTACAAAACTGATCAAAAAACAATGCCAAAGAATCCGCAGACCACATAGAGACAAAATATTGAAATCACGTGACAACACTTACTGCGCCAATTTCTTCTCGTCTGGTTGTCGATACCAGCGTTGTTAAATCGATTGAGTATTGAATTTGGCGCGATATTTGGATTTCCAACTTCGACGTTAATATTGACTGCATTACCTCCATTACCATTGTTTCCAACATTACCATTGTTGTTGTTGTCATCATTTTCATTGATGGGTTGGTAGTCAAAACTGTATTTATTAATTTCGAAATTGTTGGAAAACTTTTGTGTGTTATCGTCGGCGTCAATTTTGTTGTTGATGTCTTTGTTGTTGTAGTTATAGTTGTTGTTGTTGCTGTTGTTGTTATCGTTGTTGTTATCGTTGTTGTTATCGTTGTTGTTATCGTTGTTGTGGTTGTTATCGTTGTTGTTGTTGTTATCAATGTTGTTGTTGTTGTTGTTGTTGATGTTTTCGTTGTAACGTAACGTTTTTGTTGTAACGTTAACATCTGTGAAGTGGTAAGTAAATTTACTACGTTGACGGTAGCGATGATGATGACGACGACGATGATGACGCTGACAATGATACTGATGATCAGATGACGACAAGGATAATGGTAATGAAAATTGTAATAATTTACTATAACAAAAAATTCCAACATTTAACTTACATGCAACTAATCTAGGTAGAATTTTCATCTTTACTGAACTTAAAAAGTACAGCCCTTTAAGTCAATTTTAGGTGCTGCTGATGTGTTTTAGTGTCGGCTTAGTTATGTTTTTGTTTGTATTATTGTTTAGTGTTGTTGAAAACTTTTTTGGTTGAGGATGTCTATGTTGTTGTTGATTTTTTGTCGTGTTGAAGATAGTGATAATTTACAATTAGCATTAAAAATTCATTACAAAATTCTCAAAAGGTTTTAATTTTCAAAGTATAAAAAGTAATGAATTAAGTTTTTAAAGGCAAATTTTTACAATGCAATTAACTATTTCAATTTATAAAAATAACTTTTAAATCAATTTTTTGCATTCGTCAGTTTAAAGACAAAAAACAACTTCTGGAATTCAAGAATATGCCAAGTTTTATAACAAATTTTAAAGCTTATTAATAGGACATAATGATAGACCCCAAACCAATTTTTGGTGAATAAATAGCATTTCATTGTGTTAGTGTATTATTGTTATTCGTGTATTGTTGCAGCTTTCTTTATATTTGAATATTTGTATAATTTTCAAAATGGATGTTATTTGTGTACGTGTGTGTGTGTGTGTGTGTGTGTGTGTGTGTGTGTGTGTGTGTGTGTGTGTGTGTGTGTGTGTACGTCTTTGAATTAATACAAATATTCATTTCTCGTGTTACTACATTTTATTTGTAAATCATAGCTAAAATGTAGTGTTAATGCGTTTTTTCCAACGAACTAAGCGTTCATATACATTAATTTTTGATATGTTTTCACGCACGTGTGTGTTGCGAGTGCAAGAAAGTATAAAAGAAAGGGACAAAAACTTACGCTGCCTACCTATTCAACTACATTAATGTTGTATGTTTTCTATCTATCCTACCTACAATTAAAATTACCTAACAAACCTTAATGTAACGTGTGAAATAATAAACAAATTGACTAAAATTAGATAACAAAATTTATCTAAAATTTAACAAAATAATATTGTGTTGATTGTCGTGTTTGATTGTTGTTGTTATTGTGTTGAACAAAAATAGACAAAACAAAACATTACAATACAAATAAATTAGAACGTAAGAAAGAAAAAACGGAGTCCCTAACTTACCTATGTTCACTAAATTAATTTACCTACATATGTTCCACTACCTCAACTCACGAATTAAACCTACCTATTTGTGCGATTACGAAGGAAAATGTAAGGTAAAGATGATAAAACACCAAGCAAATAAGACAACGAATGTATTGTATGTATTTACGTATGTATGTATTTATGTATTTACGTATGTATGTATTTACGTATGTATGTATTTATGTATGTATGTTACATATGTATGTTTGTGTTTGTGTGTGTGTGAACCAACTCTATATAACCGCACAATAAAACTCTATATAACCGCACAATAAAACTCTATATAACCACGCAAAAAAACTTTATATAACCACACAAAAAAACTCTATAAAACTCTATATATCCACGTTAAATGAATCTGTATAATGGACGTAAAAAATGAGATCAGACGCCCCCGACCATGTGCCGAGGGACATCTGATCTGACTTCAACGTTTTTTAGGCTTCTATTTATACTATTTTCACTCATAAATTCTCAACATTTCAATCATTCGTATCAATGATAAGCTCATGTGATGTATACAAAACACTATTATACACATGCTTAACGACAATATACTAAGTATGCTATACTGTTCAAATGCCGAAAAAATTTCCCGCTATTATTTGTAAATGTAGCAATAACGTGTGACGTGTGAGTTGATATGTGTTTACAAGCATTGTGATAGTGTCTTCTTGATACCTCTGAAAATTAATCACGAAGCTAGCAATGGTAGCGATAGCTGAAGTGGCAGTTTTAGTCATCTTTTTAGCAATATTATTTAATATTTTACAATCCTTCATTTGAATTCCCTGAATACTGATTATATTCCACACTAAAAATTTTCAAATGTGCAAATGTTCTCGCATTAAATGAACATATAACCGTAACTTAAAACCTATAACATTGTCGTTGTTGGTATGTTATGTTTGTGTTCAGATGCCCAAATATATGTATGTACTGTGTCTCTACTCTACTTTCTTGATTCCTTGTTTGTTTGTCTAAGTATTCACTTTAAACAAACAAGGAATCAACATAATAGGGCAGAGGCACAGTATATATATATATATATATATATATATATATATATATATATATATATATATATATATATATATTATTTTGATTAAGACTGCCAGAAATGCAATTATTGATGAAAATCACAGCATGTTCTAACACTAACCAAAATTTTGGTTTTGAACTCAAGAAACTTGAGAATGACTTACGATCGAACGTTAGAAAAATCGAAAAGTTAAATTGGAAGTTAAACAGGAAGGAACGCCAAACATGCTGTGATTTTCATCAATAATTTTTGTATATATATATATATATATATATATATATATATCAATAAATTATGTATATATGTATGTATATATATATATATATATATGTATGTATGTATATATGTGTGTGTGTGTTTTGTATATATATATATATATATATATATATATATACAATTTCAATTCAATTCATACGATTAATATATACGTATATAATATATATATATATATATATATATGTGTGTATGTATGTATGCTTATATATATAATATGAAATAGTTGAAATTTTTTGAAAAATAAAAATTTTTAACATTATTGCTTACATACATACATAAACAAATAAAAATTAAAAGATTCAACAATGTAATCAGAAAAGATGATATAAGATACAGTATGATATAATTAGCGTTATCAAGCTACTGTTATGACGATATGATATGATAAAAAGTTTAAAGTTTTATTCAAATTGCTTGTTAATTTATTATCTGCTGTTCATCGTACATTGCAGTAAATAACGAACGCCATCTTTGTTTTTATTTGTTAAGCTTTTTATTATTCTTTTATTGTTATGGTTTTTGGTTGTTTATATTCTGAAGTATTGAATATTTTATGCCCTATGTTTTGATGCTTTGAACAACAAGTTGAAAAATGTTCAACTTTTTGAACAATTTAAAACTAATTAAGCAATTGTGTTTAAAATATTAAATTTTATTTTAATTTAATTTAATTTGATAAACAAAAAAGTTGAAAATCATGTTTTAGAAATATCTTACAGAAATAAATAGATTTCATAACAATTTTTTTTATAAAAACAAATTTATTTTTTTAAATTATCAAATTTTGTCAACATTTTCCCCCGTAAATTTTCACTCATTCGCACTTTCTTCCACCATCATGGTCACATCGAAGCCCCCATCGGGTAAAACCCCATCAGTTCCCGTTAAATTCGTCAGTGCCGGGCTGGCCGCCTGTGTCGCCGAGATGATCACCATACCCCTGGACACGGCAAAAGTTCGTCTGCAGGTTTGCTCTAAAACAATTTTTTCAAATTAAGGTAGTTTCATTATTTTTGGCATTAATTCAAGATTAAAATTATAACAATGAGGTGGATTAACTTGCTTGAAGAACTATCATTAAAGTTGGTTTTACGAAAGTTTTTGATTTTATTTGCTTAGATTTGAGGTTGGAAGTGGATCTAAATATCGATATTTCACAAGATCACAGCGTTAAAAAAGTTTATGCATAATGGAAGAAGGTAGGAAGAGAAAATTATTTTTAAACTGTTTATTCGACATCTTGTTAAACATTTTTTTAAATGCGACCATATGATAGATCTATCTGTCTATTCATCACGCTTAGCAACAGCTGATCAAATAAACATCAGATTCTATTTAAACTTTTGGTGGATCTCATTAAAATACAATGACAGACCTGTTGATAATCATTTGACTGGTTGTCTTTGATGATGGTGATGACGGTGATGATGACGATAGTGATGATGATGGTGATGACGACGATGACGATGATGATGGTGATGACGATTAATTATTTTGTGTTTCCTGTCATAGCTCTAAATACTATTTTATAACAGGTTTTTAGTTTTGCTATTGTTAAGTAGTAGTAGTAGTAGTAGTAGTAGTAGTAGTTGTTGTTGTTGTTGTTGTTGTAGCAGCAGCAGTATTATTAGCAACAGTAGTAGTGGCCGCAGCAGAAGTAGTGGCAGCAGCAACAACAGCAGTTGTAGCAATGATTTGGGTAGCATTATTATTATTATTATTGATATTATTATTATTTACTGTAAACACGATGATTGAAACGAAAGTTAGGCTGGTTGCGAATAGGACTGTACGTACATACAGTTAAACTATCGGACTTTGAGCGAGGGTTGTGTTTTACCGCACAGACTTAATTATTATTTATTGCCAATTTTCAGTTTTGGTTTTTTTATTTAATTTTTCAAGATTTTTTTCAATTTGTAGAAATAAAAAGAACAAATTCAATGCAGTTAAACGTTATTATTAATGATATCAATGGTTACAAAATGTTACAAAAGTGGCTACAAAAGTTGTTGTTGATGATGATAATGATGATGAAGATGATGATGATGATGAAGATGATGATGATGATGATAATGGCCGAGAATGACGAAGATGACGACGATAATGATGACGATAACGATGATAATATTGATTATGTAACTGATAAAAACAATTTTTTATCACTGTTGTCTACATGTTCGTTTTACAATCTTGGCATATCATCATTTAGTCATTCTTAGTTTTTACACTCACTCACACGCGCGCTCGCGCGTGCAAGTTTTTTCACAAACGAACGTATATTCGATCATGTTATTTAGGCACACTTGAAATATTTCAAATCATGTGACTGGATGAATTTTGACAATCAAAAAACACTATTGTTGATTTATATGCAATTATCTGAAAATTATCTTTCAGACTGATAGGCTCTTAAGATATTTGAGGTGAAATCATACAAAGGCTTCCACTTAAACGTTGGAGTGTTTTTTTGCTGCTAGCACGTTCACTCAACGGATTAAAAGTACACTGAAACACAAGTAGGAGTACACTCAGCAAGTACAAACATCAAAGTTTATTCAGCGTAAACGTACAGTGACAAGCAGATCAAAAATGGAATACGCCTTTGCAATTCAACCAATAAATAATTAATTAAACAAGAAACCAGACATAGTGTATGTATGTAAATTGGTTCGTCCAACTGTATATGCGTACAACGTAAAAAAAATAAAAGAACCACAAAATAACAAAAAACTCTTGTTTAAAGTAGTATTAAACCACACATTAAAAATCAGATTCAAGGAGAAAAAGCTGCCCTGGCGGCCGTTCCGGTATCGACGTCAGCAGGTGTGGCGGCCTCACCAGCATCCACCCTGAAGTATCAGGGCGTGTTCCGAACGATGTTCATCATAAGTCGGGAAGAAGGAGTGAGAGCTCTTTACAATGGAATGGTGGCAGGTCTTCAGAGGCAGTTGTGCTTTGCATCGGTCAGGATCGGATTGTACGACTCCGTCAAAAATTTCTACATTGACACATTTAAAGGTTGACTGTTGTTGAATGTCAATAGTGCGGTTGAACTGTTGTTGTGGGATTTTCATAAACAACGTGACTATGTTATCTTTCATTATTTTATAACCAATTTTGTATGCTGAAACCATTCGACTGTTAGGTTGGGGTTACAGTGGTAGCTCAACGAATGTGGAGCTTCGAATTTGTGCCGGAGTAACAACGGGGGCCACTGCTGTAGCCTTCGCACAGCCGACAGATGTCGTCAAAGTACGAATGCAGGCGCAGAGGTTGGGGGCGATCCGATATTCTGGATGCATCGATGCCTACAGAACAATTGCAAGAACGGAAGGAGTCAAAGGATTGTGGAAAGGTTTGTATGAAATGGAACTAGATTGTCGCACATTAATTAAGAAAATTAAATTGTTAGCGTAAAATCAAATTTTAATACATCTTTAATCTGCGTTTCAATAACTTTTTTGTTGGTATATCGATTTTAAAAAATAAAAATAATTAAAAAGTTTATATAATTATATACATAAATAAACAAATATTTAGGAGTACTACCGAATATAACAAGGAACGCCATAGTGAACGCAGCAGAACTCGTCTCATACGACCTAATAAAAGAAGCCATCTTGAAAAGGAACTGGATGTCGGACAACATGCCCTGCCATTTCGTCTCAGCTTTTGGGGCTGGATTCTGCACAACGGTCATCGCTAGTCCAGTGGATGTGGTCAAAACGAGGTGGTGGCAAAATTTGATTTAAACCATTTAATTTGAAGAATTTTTCATTTGATATAATAATTGATATAATAATTTTTTCTTTTAAATACCTGAACGGAATAAAAGGATTTAGACAAATAATTCAAGGTACATGAACTCAGCGAAAGGTGTATACAGGGGAGCGTTCCATTGTGCGGCTGTTATGTGGAAGGAAGGGGGGCCACTGGCTTATTATAAAGGGTCTGTTTCTCTCTATAGTTTATATGTGAATTGTTATATATGAATATGTTATATTTTGACACTTTTAAATTTATTTTCAATTATTTCTATTCCAAAAATAAAAACGATTATTGATCTATTATACAGTTTAAATGATTTTGAAAGATTCAAAAGAATAATATATAAAAATTGATGAAAATTACTCACTCTAAAAAGATTCATGCCCTCCTTCTTGCGACTGAGCACGTGGAACATCGCCATGTTTGTCACATTCGAGCAGTTCAAACGGTTTTTCTCGAAGATGGTAGATTGACGCTGATGGCGCTCCTAAAGTCATATATTTAGTTTTGAAAAATCAACGAAATTAGGCAATGCAGTTTTATATTAATGTACATTAATGCAATGTTTTTGGAAATATTTTAAAAATATTATTTAACAAATATACATACATAATTTCTTTCAATCATACACTCGTTATTCCTTAAATACCTATTCAAAACTTGTTTTGCACCAATGGTATGGTAATGTGGTTGGTTGCAAGTTTATAAGTTTTTGAAACTAGTACGTTTAGCAGAATCAACTTTTCCAATTAAACATCATCAGCGTTAGGTTAAAATAAAGAGTTTTTCAGTCGAATTGTGGTATGAGAATAAAACACGGTACAGGATTATTGAAAATGGAAGCCCTAACCAACACCGATATACCCATTTTTTAAAGTATTGCCAATGCCGATAGTTTCCTATTATAGCGTGGTTCATGTAAGCATAGCTAATATTCTAATATTGGAGCTTTTAAAATATAACCCGTGTCTATTTATAAAAAATACAATACTTAACTGAAAACACCTGTAAGAACAATCTTCGTGAATTAAACTTGTTAGTAATAGGTTTTGATTTATTGAGGAACACTCAAATGGATTAAAAACATCATCAAAGTCCTAAATTTTTATAGTGTAATTGCGGGGTAGGTTCGATGCCTACTACATATATATATATATATATATATATATTTATATATATAGTGTATATAGTTATATTTTATATATATGCCTACATATAACCATATATTTCGATTACAGTGTGTTTATCTACATAAATGTTGAATAAATAATAAAATCATATATATATATATATATATATATATATATATATATATATATATATATATATATATATATTTATATATATAAAGATTAAGGGATAAGATATATGAAATACGTTTCAAGAACAAAAATATCGGAATGTAAAATATTAATGCAGACAATATTTTGATATCTATTGTAAACATTTTAAAAATGGCGACGTCGGCCAATGCTTTACGACCGTGGAATCCTAATTATAATCACGCCGATAGGGAAAGGTGACATTTTTTATGTTTATATTTTCTGTTTTGAATTTTTGACGCGTTTTTTTTCATAAAATTTTTCTCCCGTATCTTGATTCAGTAATTAAGCAAAAGTTGAACATATGTTTTTTTTTTTATTTATAAAATTTATTAATTAAAATTTTATTAACTATATTGTTCTACTAATTTTAAAAAATATGATATGAGTAGTTTTTGTTATAGCGCTAGTTAAAAGTTAATTGTTTTTATTGTTAAAACTACTCTACTCTATTATAAATAGCTAATTAACAACAATATTTTTGAAAAAAATTCAAATTTTAAATAATTTAATATTAATTTAATAAATTAAGCCATAAAATTTAAGATTAATTTGATTTATTTCACTTTTGACTTTTGTTTATATTTTTTTAGATGGTTGTGCATATATCCAGTTTATTTAAATGGCAAGAAGACTGTTGCAGAGGGGAGAAGAGTACCAAAAACTAAGGTTAGCATTTGAATTACAATTATTATATAGACTATTAAGTTTTTATTTTGACTCATAAAGACAGTACAGTTCATAAATTTTTACAGCTTTTTGATAACTTATTGTATATTATATGTAATACATATTATGTATATTTCTATTTTTAAAAAAATTTATTAGGCTGTAGACAACCCAACAGCTTCAGAGATCAGAGATGTTCTATCTGCTTTGGGTCTGCCCATAATGATGGAGGTAAAATGGTTTGTTTTTCATAAATAAATCATTTTTAATTTTTTAAGCAACTGCTAAGGTTTATGTATTCACCTATACTTTTATTATTTAATCCTACATCATTATTTCATTTACATTAAATGTTTAATATACATTTTTTCACGTCATGTACACATCAGGATAAAGTACACCCGCGTGAACGAGATAGAAATGCCAAAGGAAGAGTCAGGGTTCAATTGAAAAATGAAAACAATGTTCCTCTAAACCCACAGTTTACAAACAGTTCTGGATCTATTTTTTTCCATTGATTCATTTTTTAAACATTCCTAAAAACTATTTTATATCTAACAGCAAATAATTTTTATTTGATAGAATATGGTGTACTTGAGCATGTCTGCCAAATGATCCCAAAATTAAAAACGAGAACACAGAATCCATCCTCCTTGATCTCTCAGCCAACTCAGGCTGGTCAATCTAACAGTGCAACTGGGGGTGGTAAAAAGAATAAGGGAAAGAGGAAATGATTAAATTGCATATTTAATACTGAGTTTAGAACTTGTGCTAAGAGTTTGTTTTAACAAAATATATATATCACCATGGATATAAAGATATATATTTCCTATTTGTGTATACCATTAATTATATATGCCTGTTTTGTATGTTCATCAATCAACTCATATTGTCGTTGAGGTGTAATTTCAAGTTTATCACAATTTCATATTGATTTGTTTGACGTAACTCTGGATATTTCAATCAACAATGGCATTGATATGTACTTTATCCAATAAATAACGATTGTAATGGGTTTAATTTGCGTCGTATGAGTACGTAATATTTATTTCTACAGAGTTTTAATAAGCGAGTATGTCGAGTTTAACTTGCGGTTATTTCGATAGTCACAAAATGATAAGTTTTCAAAGTGATTTAATTTGTATCATTTTAATTAGTTAAATCGTAACTTTTGAACTGATGCATGGAATAAAAAAAAAAGTCCGACCCAAAGTCCGACCCATAACGGTTGGAGACTATAAACGAGGATTGGTTGATTGATTGAATTAGTTAAATCATAATAATACCTCAAAAAGAAGAGTTGCATTCTAGCTTTGAAGTTTTGAGTTTGTTTTTAGTAAGATCAAAGTGAACTGTATGAAGGAATGTGTATAGATATGTTTGTACATGTGCAGCACAACGGTGCAGATAATATCTGATGAACGTGTGCGATGTAAGAGTTGTATGATTTGATGAGATAGAAAGATCGCTGCTTGAACATCTTATTTCTATTGATCAGCAGAACAGTTGTAACAGATTGGAGTTTTTATTTCATTCGGCAAGTGTTTATATTTATAATGCAGTCGGTAAGTTACGACTACGTTTCTTTCTCAGTAATTGTTTACTCGAAATTAAAATGGTTTATTCCAAGTATTTCGTTTTATCTGCATTTTATTACGTTTATACATTATATTTTTTGAGCTCGGTGTCGTGTAATATAATAGAGCCAGATTATTACGACCAATGGTTATTTGAAAATTCGAACGTCACATCTAGAGACGGGCAAACAGTGCAGTTCATTGATGTAATTGGTGGAGATGTCAGCGATGTTAACGTAACAACGGGTGGTACGACAATGAATGATTTCGCAGATTTGTCTCCAAGTGCCGTCGTAGATACTGCAGCTCTTTTTAACTCATCTACTTCTGCTGGTGAATTGCAAGAATATACCCTTATTAATACAGATTTTTCACAGGCGACGACTGCCACTCAAACTTCGGCGAATATTGGTGAGAACTTGATAACTTCTGGATTAAACGCGTCCTCAACTTCGAAATCAACTGACCTATTGCAGTTGATAAAGGCTGGTACAATATTTGTGGCGAACCAATTTAAAGAAAACAATAACTTAGACAACAATCAAGCGATCAATCAGAGTGATTTTAAACTTGCCGACAATTTAACGACGATCGTCACCCCCCAATTGTTAAGTATAGCTGCAGACGAATCGTATGAAAAAAGGAAATTTACAATATTCGACAATTTAACGACGATCGTCATCTCTCAAATGTCGGAAATAAATGCAAACGAATCGTACGAAGAATGGAATTTTGTTGACGACATGGAAAACAGGACAACAACGTCAGGTACACCTTCCGCTATTATGGAGATAAAAAAATTATTGTCGGAATTTTATGGTTTGGACACTGAAATTCTGGCTATCGATGCGTCAGTGACAACTGCAGGCCACATTACGAACCAAATGGCAAATGAAAACGTAAGCGATTCCTACAACGGTACAATGAATAGTGGATCACAACTTACGGAAATAACGAAAATAACTTTGAACAAATCAGAACTTACAGAAACATCAAATTTCACTCTAAACAACACCATCAACTGCTCAATTTTTTTGCGGTTCCACAGATCATCACTGTGCAACAAAGATTTCGATGTTTCAAGCGCCGGTTTGATTTTGATCGTCGTAGTCGGTTTAGCTTTCACAATCCTCTTGTTCTTCTGTGTCATGAAGTTACTTCGCTGTTACAACGTCACTGGAAGAAGCAAATACAAATACACGGTACTCACTAACGAATGAATGGCCAATCGTCAATTAATCATCGCAGATCAATCGATGAAAATAAATGCATATGTGATGTTTTTTTTTATCTTTGTGTAGACATTTATGAACATTTTAGTTTTTATATCATAACAAACAGGATCTTTTCATTTAATTATATGAAACATTAACTAATGACAGCAATAAAAAAAATATTTGATTAGTTTTAATACTTGGGATTTAAGTTTAAGTGCAAAGAGATGAATTACCAATTATGACGTAACAAAGCTCCCCTGCAGCTCCAAACCAAATAAATAATTGTAATAATTGCAATTGGTCAAAAACTAAGAGATGAAAAAAAGAAAAATTTAAACAACAAAGATTTGCATAAAAATCGCTATACACAAAATTTAATTACTCATTAAAACCACAGAGAATAATAACAAGAAAGAATAAAATGCTGGAAGTACTATTATTATGTCTTTGTGGCGGGAAAAAATGAAAGGGAGCGGTTGATTAAGGGTCGAATTTCCTTTCTTATTATTTTCAGGCAATGCAAAGAAGGCCAGGAACACTGGAAATTAAATTAAAAAATGAACAATTTTAAACCTTTATCAATAATTACAACCGTTATCCTAATCATGGAAAATCCATTTTTTTCTACCAAATGTGAAAGTAATAAATTTCTTAAAATGAAAAAACTATTGAATTATTACATAAAAACAATATAACTAATAAATTGTTAAATAGTCAGAAAACCAATGCTTAAAATTAATGATCCACAATTTAAAAGCAATGAAGGCTATACAATAATGACAAACTTTGAATAGAGGAATGACACTTGTCAGCTGTCTTGTCGAGCAATTATGAAGCAACAAACATATGTAATATATTACCTGATGCTGCAATAAAGTTTTTTCATATTACATTAACAAAAAAACTTTTCAATATTTTACAGTCTATAAGTTATTATTGCTAGTTACAAATGCTGTTAAACTTTTATAAAAATAAATTAAGTAAGGTAACTGAAACACAACCATTGTGATTCCTTCATTAATAACAATGTCATGTATATTTTTTGCTTCATAAAACATAGAGGAAGTTCGACCAGAGGCAAATTTAGTCGTCATCTGTACTCCAACTGATGCAATGATTAATAATGATTCTGAAAAATAGAAAATGAATTCAATTTAACAATTTACTTCAATAAATAAAGCCAAATATAAACATATAAAAATACATTTGTCTATATAAAAAAGCTCTTTAAAATTTAAGAAAATATGTATGTCCATGACAAAATATTTTAATGACTTTATTTCCAACATTAAGGATAGTAAAAAATATGAAACTAATAATTAAATTTAGATTAACAGAATTCATGCAATTGAAAATTTAGAATGAAATAAAAAGAAATACCTTGTTTGACTTTCACATTGATTTTTAGAAATATGATCACAAGTAGGAGAATGATTACTGCAACCATCACTTTGACATCCTAGAAGAAAGAAAATTTAACAATTGGTCAATGTATGAAGTTGAATAACATTAAGATTAAAGATTAAATTAACTAACTAACCACTACCAATTTGACAAAACTTTTCCAAACTTGACAAACATTAAACAGAGTAGCACAACACATGAATATGGCAATATGCAATTACTCAATTCAATTAAAAAAGAAAGAAATACATGTAGGCCATAATAATAAATAAAATAATTTTATATAATTATATCATCATTCATAGACAATCCCACGTAATTTAATTTTTATTAATTTAATTAATCTTTAATGCATGAGTTATGGATGCTATGGCAAGGCTATTGTCTATACTTTATCTGGAGAGAAAGAGAGTATGACATTCTTATTTTATATATCTAACTAAAAACTAAGCCAAACTACTGTCTTTTTAACTTTAACTAACTCTATCTAGATATTCTATCTATTATCAACCTACTCTATTCTACTTTATGACTACAGGGTGTGGCTGGTCACTCACTGATTAGTTGATAAATAAAAATTTTGAAATTAGTATTGTAATAACTTACTTGGGAATGAAGCTGAAAGTAAAAACCGAGAAGGTACATGAACAAACTCCACAAAAACCATTTTTTAGTATTAAATTTGGGAGATTCAACAATTATTTCCTTGCACAACTTTTCAGCATGATGAAGGATATTGACTTTTATGAGTTCGCCAGATACAGATTTAGATTCAAACATATGACTCATTGTTTTTACGAATGTTATTTTATCATTTCATTCCCAATCAATTCTTTTAAATTACCTAAAAAAATAAGATCCGAACAAGAGCAGGAAATCACTGAAGTTTTTTAAACCTAGGTTATATTTTAAATTGATTATTTAAAACAGGACTGGTCAAATTATCAAAAAGTTCAATTAATCTTAAGCAAAAATTTATTCAAACTATTTTAAAAAAACTTCTAATTTTTAAATTGAATTGTTATTATTTTAGCAAAAGTTTACGTACAACAACGTAAAAACTGATTTGATATAATTTTTTTATCGACAGTCAACTCTTGAAGACTAACACCGTGCTATTTTGGCATACATAAATAAATTTGATTCAAAACCATTCTGGATAATTTAAAAATTAAAAATCGCTTATTACGAAATTGTCGACGGCCTTTTAAAGAAATCCGACAATGGTAATTCGTTAAAAAATTCTTAACAATCATTTAATCTAATTAACAATATTTGTTGTTTGTACATTGCAGTTGTAACAATTGCAATTACTAATCAATAATTTAATAATTAATTATTAATTTTATTGAATTTTATTAATTTTAATAATATCATGAAAATAATAAAAAATAGAATTTTAGGCTTATATTCTTATTTATCTTTAGTAACGTATTTTTATATTCATAACCATAACGAAATGATAATGTAATTTTAGTCAAGAATTATCATCAATTTATTCATGTTTATTCATTCATTTCATTGAGAATATCACTATATATATATATATATATATATATATATATATATATATATATATATATAATTATATATTTATTTAATTAGTGTGAAAATGAAACATTTGATTAATTTCAGATTAGATTTATCCTGATTCAGAATCGGGCAGGCAAGACCAGGCTAGCAAAATGGTACATGCATTTTGATGACGACGAAAAGCAAAAGTTGATTGAGGAAGTTCACGCCGTAGTCACTGTCAGAGATGCAAAACACACCAATTTTGTTGAGGTAACTCAACTAATCTTTAAACATTTGTAATGTTTCTGCATTGCTTTTGATAAAAATCTGTTAGGTGTTGTTGTGATAACTATTTCCTTTTTCCGCTAAATTTAAAATAATTTTTTAATAAACTTTTCCACAATCATTATTTTTATTCTTCACAAAAATCATTGTATAACAAACTATGGATCAGCACGTAAAGACTTAATCTTAATAGAATAGCAAAAGATTTTAAGCTTATGAATTTTAAAATTTTGTTGGTTTTGTTTATTAATATGTTTTAGCGTTTGAAACAACCACCAGTAAGATGCACCTTTAAAATTTTCAATGTACATTAACAAGCTGACAATGCAACATGAGCATAAACAGAACAAGCACACCCACATGAACTTAAATAACAATCCCTGTTTCAATATCCCATCTAGTTTAGAAATTTCAAGATAGTCTACAGAAGGTATGCAGGCCTGTATTTCTGCATATGTGTTGACATAACTGACAACAACTTGGTTTACCTCGAGGCAATTCATAATTTTGTTGAGGTCCTCAATGAATACTTCCACAACGTCTGTGAACTTGATCTGGTATTTAATTTCTACAAAGTTAGTACTAATAGTTTTCCCATCTAATTTTAACAATTTAGAATTGCACAACTAAACAATAAGTTTGATATGAATGATGATCTCCGTGATTTAACCTATAACCCTACAAACTATATAACCCTACAAACATCCAGGTCTACAGCATAGTTGATGAAATGTTTCTAGCTGGAGAAATAAGGGAAACCAGTCAAACCAAAGTTCTTAAGCAGCTGCTTATGCTATCTTCACTGGAGTGAAATGTCAATCAAAATTTTTGCTGTTTAGTCATGAATGAAAGAATTTAATGAAATATGTAAATTACATTAAAACTTCTATGCTAATATATAAATGTTATCGTTATTGTATCGTGTGTGTGTGTGTGTATATAATATATGTACTTATATCTATAGCTTTAACCAAAATTGTTTTATTTCTTAGTTATTCATTGGTTAACAATGTCTCCCTTTTTATTCATATAGTTTTTTATTAAACACTGTAAAAATCGAACACAACACAAACAACATATAAAAGACAAATGAGGTTGAATAGAATCGGAGCAAAGTAACGTGTCATGTGGTGTAGCAACTAAATGCAGACGTATGCACACATTTCATTAAAAAAACTCTGTATTAAACAGTCAAATAAGTGTACTAAACAGTCAATAAACGAATTAAAATAAGAGAAACAAGACAAAAAATTTAAAAAAACTAGAATTACAAACAGAAGGGTAAATAGACATTAACAATGTTCGAAATTAACGCATACACACCACACACACACGACACAGCGGCAGATAAGACTGGCTGGTCCTCCCCGTTGTGAGCAGCATTTGTAATAAAAGTCGGTAAAACTCATTGATTTAACAGAAAAAGCACTGTTTTATATCGATATCAATCAGTGACTACCACAAATTTCGGCCTCCCAATGAAGATTGTAACATTTTCCAAATTTCGGCCGCCCTTCCGTCGAAGTTGTCTAGATCCGCCACTGCTCACAAACAAACACAAACAAACCCATATAATAACAGACACAATGATCCTTATAATTGTACATACATTGAAACGTAATAAACACGATACACGATGATAATTAATAAAAACATGAAACACGGTCTGTAAGTGAATTTGTTAAAATTTTATTATATGTGCTTGGCACACAAATTAAAAGGTATTTCTTAAAAAGAAATACTTGAATAATATCAATGCCAGAGAAAATGAACGGAAGACCCAATTGTTATTTAATTCCCATGAATGAAACAAAATCATCCATGAGGTTGGGGTTGGTTGATATCTTCTTGTGTCCATATCCCAATTTGCTTTCATAAGTTATTAACTTGGTCATGTTGGGATCCTTGGTGCGAGTTTTGGCAACCTCATACAACTGTGCGTGTTGTTGTGTTTGAAATTATTTATCTTTTGAGAATGTTAATGTTCATTATTATTGTGAATTAAATTAAACAGGAAATGACGATATTAATGTATAATTAACTATTTACACTTATTTTGTTAGAAAGTTGAGCTGCATAAGTTTTATTGAAGTTTATTTATCATTGACAAAAGTGTAATAGGAATAACATTCAGAATTAACTAAAAGAGTTTCATTTTGACTCATTACCTTCTTCCCATGTGTGTATGGCACTATTTGGTCATCCTCTGCATGTAAGATCAGAATTTTTTCTTTCACATCCAAGATGCTTTTACGGAAAAAATTTTGAAAAATGGAGTTAAAAAAACAAAAAAAATATTATAATTCACACTGCATTTGAAAATTGATTTTCATAGTAATAATAGAGAATAAGGTTTCAAGAATCCTAACTCTAACGAAAAGTTGACATTTCTTAAGGAAAATACAAGAAGAAAACAAACATTATAATGAAAAACTTCACCACAAAAAAAATTTCTAAATTATATGTTACTTTTGATCATTAGGCAATGTAATGTCAGCCTGTTTCACAGCATCAACTACAACCCAACTGTAGTATGGCAGCCATCTAAAAAACTGAAAATTCAAAACGTAATTTAGTGAAATAGATTTGCAATAAATCTTTGAAAACTGAAATTCAAATAAAAACTAAAAGAAAAAAACATTTACAGTAGTGATGAAATGTGTATCAGCAAGTTCAATGGCATTTGTGAATGGAGTCTCCAACACCAGACCAGAAAATGTTATTCCTGTATGTTATATATCAGCATAACAGTAGAATAACAAAAATTCACAAAATTTTAGACAACATTCTAAAAATTTGTCTTGTAAAGGTAAAATTTCTATGTTCAAATTTGTTCTTATAAATGTTTTTCAATAAAACTAAAGTTACATACATACACAAAGTAATTTTTTATTTCACATGTTTTAACTAATTATAGGAGTAAGGTGAAAAATTTTTTAAATCATAACATAGAGAAAATTTGAAAATGTACAAACAGCAAAACGCTATTTAAAATCAAAATAAATTAACAATAAAAATCAACAACAACTTTTATAACCACCAATTACCTTTATTGCCAAGGTCCTTAGCAAGTTCAACAGCAATCCTATAGAAAATGTAAAGCAACATGAAGTGAACAATTGAATAATACTACTAATAGTACTAATAATAATTAATAATAATTATTATTATATTTATTAATAATTGATAATAATAAGCAGCTCAATGAAAAAAACAAACGCTGATCCCAAGGAATGGCCCCAGATGAAAATGTTGGCTTTCTTCCTGGCTGTTTTTTTCAACCAGTCAAACATTACAGAAGCATCCTCAACCAATCCCGACTTGCTGGGCCAACTGCTCGAATCACCATAACCTACCAAACGTTAAATTGTGAAAATGTATACAAATTATATAAAATGAACAATAAAAGACAACAATGATGAATGGATAAAAGAGAAACGAGTATTACCACCTCTGTAATCAAATGCAATGACATGAAAGCCTCTGGATGACAGTGTTTTGTACAAGTTAACTCTGAAAGACTTGGTTCTGTATCAAAAACAAATAACAATAATAACCCATTTTTATCCCAAAATAAACATAAAATATATTTATAATAATAATAATAATAACATATCTATAAAATAAAAATGAAAAGATATCTAAAAAATATAATCACAACATTTTACTAATGAAAGTGTCAGGATCAAAATAAAATTATTTATTGTAAAGAAATGTGTAGTAGCAGTATGCATGCTTGTAACCTGTCTCCAGCATTGCCGTGCAGATACAACACAATGGCATTATCATTATCGAGCAGGTCATTAACACTCGATGCCTTCAGTTCAACATTCTTTGGGACTTTTAAATCTTTTGGAAGAATATGCCTGAATGAAATAATGTTAAAAAGCTAAGTTTACATTGATTTTAATACCAATAAAATAACAAACGCATTCAAAGACCCTCAATTTTTAAGAAAAAATGTTTTATTGTTTTATATTTATTATTTTATATTTTCCATTAATTTATTCATTTGCACTTTGAATAAACCTCAGTTTTTGACTTTAAATGCAAAACAAATTATTATGTCAATGCTTTTTTTAATAAAGATTAGAATAATAAGTAAAAATCACAATCAAAATTAAAACAAAGAATTTCAAATAGAATTGAAAAAAAATGTACCAAGCACCAAGGGAAACTTTTTCATTAACTTGTAAATGAAAATTATAGGCATTATTTAAGCCATGGAGCGTTGTGTTCTGGTAATCAACTAAACCAAAAGGCAATTTCACTGTGAAGAAAAACAATCAGTTAAATTAAATTCAAATTGAAATGTTTTAAAAAAAATTTGAAAAACAACTTCTGCACTTCAAGAAAATTGTTTAAATTTAACTATAAACAACAAATTTTTACTAACCATAATTACAGAAAACAACCAGACCCAATATCGATGGATAAATCTTTATAACAGCTGGAATGATGAAAAATAACAGAAGCAACAGATAGCCACAAAATTTGAGTAGAAAAACTACAAATATATTGTGGGGTTTACTGAAAATTGCAAATTAAAAACTCAATATTAATTAATTTAAATTATTTATTGTCTTTGTTCATTTCATAGGAATATAAAAAACTATATAGATAAGTCAAAATAAAGTCAACATTACAGAAAAAAATAAGTCTTTTAACATCTAACTAACAACCATACCATGGCATGGCTGAAATGTGATTTATAACTAAATGTGTTTAAATTGTAAATAAACAAGCATTATTATTTTATAATGTAAGCTAGCACTTTCTGTAATATCAAATTTTAAATCCTAGAAACTAAAGTAAAATATGGTAAAAATATTTTTTAAAATTTTAGTGGCTGTTTGTCTGGTTTGCATTCAATCAACATTCATATTCAACCCAGCAAGGTTTTAGATTTAATGTAGTTAGGTTAAGGAGGATCTTAGTCATTAGAGGCCCTCAGCCTAAGAAGGCTTAGGAAGGTCTTACTATTGGTGGTCATTTTGATTGTTGCATTTCAATCAAATACTAAGTCTATTCTAACGTAGGTTATTGTCAACGAACAAAACTCAAAAGTGACATAAAATTAGCGCAAAATAATACAACAGACGTGAGATTCGATTGTGAAGCAGCAGACGGATGGTGGTGAGAACCGTCGGTGTGTCCATCACGGGCATCGCCACGTTCTCCAACATTATTCGTCGTTCGTGGATGAATTGGAGGCCTAGGTGTAATGCCCTTATAACAACTGTAATCTGTGCTCGAATCGCTACTTTTATTATTTCTAAACATTTTCTTTTTTTGACAAACAATGTTCAAAACTTCAAAAAAGCGTCGCAACAAAGAAAAAATCAATTATCGCTCAAACAGTGAGGACGGGCGCGTTCGTGAGAAATACAATGACCATACAATAAACAGAAATAATGTAACAAATAATGGTATCACGTAGGAGTTGTTATTAGTATGGTTATAGTAGCGTTAGATAAGTTTTACAATTTATTATTTCAAGGATCCTAAACGTAAATGTACAAATAAACTTAAATAAAACTTAATGACCACAGCGCTTATTGGGGCAACTATGGAATTTCAATCTGGAATTGCCCTATCGTACGCTCTACTGAAAACAAAAGAAGCAACGACGTCACGTATCCATTATAACTGATGTAGAGAAGCATCAGCGGGTGTAGTTTAGAGAGTAAAAATACAGTGTAATGACGTAATTGCATCTAGGCATGGATATATATATATATATATATATATATATATATATATATATATATCCATGCATCTAGGTCAACGTTCAGGCCAAACGCTTCATCTCACTACCTAATCGATAAGAAATTCAATGAAGGCAGCATGTTTAAAACTGATTTATTGTTTCTGTCGCAAAAATTGCACAGGACGATAGAATTTTAGAGCTAATTAATTTTTATCACTGATGGAAACTGACCACTGAACTTTAGATAATGTTAATTTATGTTAAAAGTGAAACTCAATCTGTAAAATACATGGAATCCCAGGCTAAATTTGCAAGTAGTCTATCGCTAAACTTGATCAATGACATGCTACTGCCACACGTTTTCTAATTTATTTCATATATTTTTAATTTTCATAATTTAAATCGTTAGCCAGATTACTAAAACTCCTGTGTTGTAGTATATACAGATAAATTTCAAATTTTTATATACTTCGATGTAGTCTGGAGATTCTGAATTTATATGTTATTCCCATATTTTTTCATATACTACTTCTTTATTCATAATTGTTCATTGTCTCTAACTTAATATTAAATAATTTTTAGTAAATTAAATTATGATCTGACAAAGTTAAAAAACCTTTGCGAACAAGTTCGTAGTTCTCATGTTTTATTCATTTATTCTTAACTCTATAAGACACTCTTGCAATAAATATGTTTTATTCGAAAATGTTTTGATCTTATGCTATCATATGCTTATTTAAAAATTTGTAAATTAATAATATTTTGGTACAATATATTAAAACCATTCGAGAAGATAATCTATCTTCTCGAATGTTTTTAATATATTATACCAAAATATTATTAAATATAAAAAAATCTTGTTTTTGGATCACGAACGAAGTTGCATGCATGCGAAGGCTGCCACATGTTTACAATGCACCGGTCTCATTAATAATTTTATGTTTGATCTTCCATTAAGCCATTCTGTGACCACTTATATAAAAGTCCGCACTTACCGTCATCCGAATTGACAATAAAGATATATTTGCAGTTCAACGATCATGGTTGAAATTTGTTTTACATTTAATGTATCTCTAAATAATAACGAATCATTTTTATTTAACAATTGTTTCAATAACAATCCAATTTCAAATATGACCACAAATCGTGTAAATGGAGTCAGTCAATTAAGTAACCAGTTAAAAGTTTTCTTGGCTGTTGTAATGGGTCTGATATCATTGTTTACCGTAGGTAGCAACATCATGGTCTTCTTATCATTCAAAATTGAGAAAAAATTACGAACATTAACGAATTATTTTTTGCTGAGTATGGCGGTTGCTGACTGTGCTGTCGGATTAATATCTATTCCAGTTTTCGCGCAGTATGTTCTACAAAGAAAATGGATTTTAGGTCCCACTGTGTGTAAATTGTGGCTGTCTGAAGATTACACTGTTTGTCAGGCATCTGTAGCACATCTATTTGCAATTAGTTTGGATAGGTACTTCTCAATCACCAGACCATTGACTTATAGAGTAAATAGAACTACGAAAAAAATTATTTTTGCACTTTTAATTACTTGGTTGGTTCCATTTTTAGTTACTGCCCCTTGGATTTGGCTTTATCCATTTTTTGATAAAAACAAATATTTCATAATACCAGAAAATGAGTGTTATGTTCCATTTTACGCAAGAAGTCCTTTGATAATAATTATATCGAACGTTATTACATTTTTTCTGCCTCTTTTAGTAATGCTACTGTTGTATTTGAGAATATATTTAATTGCTGAAAGTAGTAAAAATGGACTGAATATAAAAAGAGGTAAAGATATTAAACATGAAAAAAAACCCAACACAAATAGCCTAAACCGTGGACACAACACTACAAATATAAGAAATTTCCAACCGACAATTTCGATCATAGTAACATCACCAAATCATACAAGAAACATAGTTAACACCAATAATGCAACAGATCAACAAATTCCCGGTAATAACAAAAAGATTGATTTGAAATCAGCAATGGCTTCTGCAAAAAGGCAGGATAAAAAAGCTGCTAAAACTCTAACAGCTATCATGGCAGGCTTTATAATCACTTGTGGTCCGTACAACGTTCTCAGCTCAGTTAACTGTTTTTGGAACAATTGGATTTTGGAAAATTTCCAAGAACTCTACGACTGTGGTAAAACATCTAGAATAAATTTTTTCGTCTTAAAATAAATTAATTCAATCTTTCGTTTGAAGAAAATTTATATTTTTTTCTTAAATATTATTTATTTTCTTTTTGAACATTTTAAGGTTATTTCCTTTGTTACGTTTGCAGTACTATCAATCCAATTTGCTACGCACTCGCCAATGATAACTTCAGAGAAACGTTTTCATATATTTTACATTTTGGTTTCCATAAGCGGTGTTAAACGTTCACTCATGAATGGAAATTGTTGTAATTTGTTTCAAATTTATGAACGATACTGTGACATTCTAATTTGATGAACACAAAACCAAATTTGATGTTTTTGAATTAAGAATTATAAGCTTTTTTTTCCCGATATTTATTACAATATTTGGAAAATCAACAATAAACACTTTTGTATTCACTTTTATGTCCCATTGGTTGCTCATTTCTCATTAAAATGGTTGTATTTAGCTATAAGATAACTCTTAAAATTCCAGTCGCGGGTTTTAAGACTTTGTCATATACATATTCTATATATAATAAACTAAATACACAAACAAATAAATATGTTCCAGTTTGGAATTCTTTTGAATCTGCACCTCATTTACATTCATGCGTTTGTGTACTTATGGAATATGGAAATTAAAAATTTAGTGTTTTTGGTTGTTAAAATGTGGCGATGCAGATAAATTATAAATAATTGATGTAGAGCAGATACAGATGACTTCGGCAATCTTATTCTAAATAAAAATCATTTAATTGAAACCGACAATTAATTGTAATCAAATGATTCGTAAATTTTCAATGTAATAAGCGTTAAAGTGAAAATAAATTTTTATACAATTTCCACTTTTGTTTCGCTTTTTGTTTCAACATGCGGAGAGCTCAATATGGTACGTTTTCAAAAACTTTTGTTTAATACTTTAATTTTAATTTGGTACAATCAATCTAACTTAACTAATTGTGAAAATTAAATAATTTACAAATTTATATTATAGCAGTTTAAAAACAGGTTTTTAACTTTTAATACAGATTCAAATTATTATGGAATGCCTTCCGGTTCAAATTCTCCTTTTATTGAGGAAGAAAATGATCAACTTGAAAAAGATTTGAAAAACAAAGTTGGCCTTTTGAAAAAAGTTAGTTTATTCATGATTTATTTGATATATATATAATATATATTATAATATATATATATATGTATATATTAGGGTCAGGTTATATTTCTTATATTTATATATATATATGTATATATAAAAGAGAGAGAGAAAGAATAATATTAAACTATTTGCAAAATAATTAAAAAGATGCTTTTATTTGAATTTAAAAAGAGAAAAGAAGAATGACATTATTTTTTCTTTCACTTCTTGGTGAAGATTACCATATTAGATTATATTCTTTATATATAAATTTGTATATATATATATATATATATATGACAAATTTAGAATTTAATTTTTTAAATAGTATCTATTGTATTGATGTCATTATATTTATTTATGTTTGTTTATATTGAAACTTATTTTTGTAAATTCAAATTCAGGTAACAATTGACATTGGGCATGAAGTTAGAGAACAGAACAAGTTACTGAAAGAAATGGTACAACAATATTTCAAAACTTATTTATAAATAATGTATCTTATTTATGGATTTTTCAGGATGATGATTTTGATAAATCAACTGGTTTCTTGAAATCTACTATGGCCAGAGTGAAGAAGATAGCAAAATCAGGACATTTCTATATCTACATCTATCTCCTATTATTTGCTGCTTTTGTATTTTTCGTTATCTGGTTAATCATGAAAACTAGATAAATTAATTAATTAATTATTATTATTTAATTGTTTTTTTTCTATCATTTATTTTAATTTTGCTGGCGAATTAACATTTGTGCTGCATTAGGACTACAATCAATACATTGCCATTACGTCTGTTATTTTTAGGTTGCAGTTGAATGAAAAATAATTTTTCAATACTTTGTATCTATGAGAACGAGCAGTGCTTTACAAACGCGTGAGACTGCGTAACCAAAGCCGCAACCTGCCGGATATGACTTTGCCAATTGAATGATTGGTGGGAAAGGTGATTGATCTGTTTGTTGTGTTGGGGGCCAGACATGATACTGGAAAGGGAAAAGGTAATTAAAGGACTGTACACTTGTGGGCCGTCCATAAAGGATGTCACACTTCCAGGGTGGGAGGGGGTCCAAATATTTGTTACACTTTGAGACGAGGGGGAAGGGGGGTAAACGCAAGTGTGACATCCCTTTTTTTTAAATAAACAAAACAATAAATATATTTTTCAAATGAATATTAAAGTTTTCAAGCGAGCAAATAGCTCATGAAGGAGGAGTCAAATTTAAATGCCATCGTTAAAGTTTACCGCTGTGTAGGTGTTAATATTAACTAATGGTTAATATTAATTCGTTATTTTTAACTACGGTAAAGCATTTAGATATCGAACTATCGTCATATAAATTTGACATTCGTTATTTTGATATCAATAAAAAAAATGCATAGAACAATTACATTGTTTAATGACTCTTCACTAAGAGGTGGGGGGGGTAAAGTTTTGTGACATGCTTAGTTTTGGGGAGTTGGTCGATTTGTGACACGGGGGAGTCAAAAAAACGTTAAAAAAGCGTGACATCCTTTACGGACAGCCCCTTATAAACAATTTAATATTTCATTCGTTCGTTTATTCGTTTCGTCTTTCTTTCATCCACCCATTCATCTCTTCATCTATCCATAACGTTCAAACTTGAAAGCTTATCAAACACTCGACTCCTTAACACAAGTGATTAATTTTCGTTATTTCAATTTACCGGTATTAAACGTACTTACACAAACATCATTGAACAATGGTAGAAAGTACCTAGGCATAAAACTCACTAATACACAGAAATACACACGCACACACAACAACGCAAATTATATACGTATGAATATGTGTAGAGTAAAACAACGCCAGTAAATTCGAACGCTAACGGCAATTGTTTCAACATCAACATTTAAAGACATAGTGGATGGATGGATGAATGGATAGATACATGAGTATACAACGTACATGTAGAGAAAAAGTGAGAGAGAGGGGAGAGAGAGAAAAAAGGAAACCAGAAGAAAAGGTACAAGAGAGAGAGAGAGAGCGAAAGAAAAAGAGACAATGAAGGGAGACACAAGATAAAATAGAGAGAGAAAGAAAAAGAGAGAGGGAGAGAAATGATCCAAGATAAAACATTGAGGGATAGAGAAAGAAGATACAAGATAAAATATTGAGGAAGAAAGAGATGCTTGATACTATAGTAACAAACATACATGGCACAATGTTGTCGGACAGAGGAAGAATATAATGGGACATGTCAGCCACCGTCAGCGGCGAGTTCGTCCCGCCCACCGCTGCTTCGTTTGACGTATCAGTAGCGTTCGTATATAACCCAACAACACCTCTAGCAAAGCCGACGCCGTATGCACTGCTGCACATCTCAGCCAGACTTGCGTTCGTTGCCACTGGAAGAACAATAACAGCGCGAGAGTAAACTTTTTATCGTTTGCATCACGTTCATTTTTGAACTTCCATAATCAACAGCTCTACGAGCTTTCGTATGCCACCATGAATGAATGAATGGTTGAATGAATGAATCACCATCATCTTCCGAACGGCAAAGGATCACTCTTGAACCAACATCATCTCCGGCATGCCGTGGTGTTAGGAAAAGTTACATTTAAAATTTTATTAATTACCAATTGTAAAATAATATTGAATGTAATTTACTTTGACTGTATGTAATGTATTGTTTGGTGTGTGTAATGTATTGTAATGTTTGGTGTGTGTAATGTTTGGTGTGAGTATTAGTTTGGTGTGTGTAATGTTTGGTGTGAGTAATGTTTGCTGTGCTTAATGTTTGCTGTGTGTAATGTTTGCTGTGCTTAATGGTTGCTGTGTGTAATGTTTGCTGTGTGTAATGTTTGCTGTGTGTAATGGTGACGTGAAACAAAAACACACAACCAGAAGTAAGTGAGAATTATAGAGAATAGAAGTCACCCACCAACTTACAGTAAATTAACGGTTAAGCCCTAGCTTATCTATAATAATTAGCTCAACTCTAATCTCACCTACTTATGATTAATAAACTCACCTTAGGCCCTTACTTACCTACTTTCAATTAAACTCAACTTACTCTTGGCGTCAGTCCAGTAGAGAAGAAAAGTAGAAGAATGTAGAAAAAACCATGACAATAACACCAAACAAATGAATGTTATGCATGTGTGTGTGTATGTATGTGTTGTTTGCATGTAATGTTTGCTTTGTGTTTGATTCTGTATAATGTTGTGTTTGATTGTGTGTAATGTTGTGTTTGTTTGTGTGTAATGTTGTGTTTGTTTGTGTGTAATGTTGTGTTTGTATGTGTGTAATGTTGTGTTTGATTGTGTGTAATGTGTTTGTTTGTGTGTAATGTTGTGCTGATTCTGTGTAATGTTGTGTGTAGGGTATATGTATGTTTATGTGGATGTATGTACGTATGTGTATTGATAAATGAGTGCGCTAACGTAAAAAAACAACTCTACCTCAGAAATGTTTTCTGAAGTTGACTAACATGTGAGACGCATCGAAAGCTACACCAGAGTCTCTTCTTTGCATACATTTCTGGCTGTTAGTATGTTGATAGGTTTAGTAATTTAGTTTTTTAATGCTTTTTTTAACGTATAAAAAACATAACGATACAACTTCAAAGAAAACGTTAAGCTAATAATAATATTAAAATGCTTTTAATTAATTAAAGCCTTCCACCGAATATTATTATATCAAAACATATAGATAGCTTAACTAAGCTGCTTTAAATCAAAATATCTCGCGAGAGGTACAAGCCACAATGTAGTATTTAATTTAATTGTTATCGAAACAAAACAACGAAGTAATACCTTTTCTTGTTAGTCATCTCCATTCTTTAAAACGAAATAACGCAGATTGTTTTAAATTTCAACTTCTTCCAGCCAACTAACTTTCTGTAGGTAGTTTGCTTGTGGTGCTATGAATTTAAAATTTTATTAGCTTAACGTATTTCTAACTCCTGCGCAAGTAAAAAAATAAGACAATCACTTTTCACGAAACGTGTATATGTACAATTTGGACATGCCAACCAACCAGCCTGCCAAAGTACAAGTTCAAGACAATCCCTTTTCACAAAACGTATAAGTAAATGTGCATGTTGTCATGCCAACCAACCAGCCGGCTAACATACACTTCATGTTTTAACTACTGTAATACAAGAAAATACTACCATACTACTACTACCATTAATATCACTACTGCTGCCGCTACTACAGCTGCTACTACTACTTCTACTGCTTCTGGTTGATTTGATTAGATTGAAGCGATCGAGAGCTGGTTTAAGAGCATACAAAAAATATAAGTTTGTCTAACAAATTTTTAAACAATGCCATACACGCTAACGCTCTTATATATGATTATTATTTGTTTAAATTTGCTAATTATTATTATTCATTTTATTATTTGTTGGCAATTAAATTCACTCCACCTAGATTGCCATTCAGCGCAAAACTTATAAACAACATCATCACGTTATTCACTGATCTGTCAGATGATGGAATGGTTAAACTTCTACTTGCCTGTAATCTCGTTTTATCATCATCATCTACCTGTTTCAGACCTGCTCACAGTACTGAAACTTCTTTACTCAAAATACACAATGATATCCTACTCTCTAGTGACATTAGTAATCTTACTCTTCTTCTTGCTCTTGACTTTTCCTCGGCTTTTGATACTGTTGATTATACTATTCTCTTGAGGCTGCTACATCTTTCTTTTAATAATACTGATTCTTGTCTATCTTGGTTTTCTTCTTATCTCTGTAATCGTTTTTCTTCTGTTGTTCTCAATAATTCTACTTCTAACTCCTCTACTCTTACTTTCGGGGTACCTCAGGGTTCTATCCTTGGCCCTCTTTTATTTATACTCTATACTTCTGAACTACCTCGTATTATTAATAACTTTTCTTTCTCTAGTCAACTATATGCTGATGATTGCATTTATATATAAAATAAAATATTGCACTTATAAAATATAAAATATTGCACTTCTTTTCCTCCATCTAATCTCAATAGTGTTCTTCATAATCTATCTTCATGTCTTTCTTCAATTATCACTTGGTCTGACTCTATGTGTCTTAAACTTAATCCTTCTAAGTTTGAATTAATTTTTTTTAATAAATCTAAACACTCTTATTACTATTCCGCCTATTATCTTAGCTGATTCTAAAACTCTTGATGTCTCTCATAAGTTTCGTAGTCTGGGCTTTATCTTTGATTTTACTATGTCTTTTTCTTTTCAGATTAATAGTGTTGCTAGAAGCTCTTACTTTCATCTACGTAGAATAAACAACTTTTGCCTTTTCTTGATGATCCTTCTCTTCTCCTTCTTGTTACTTCGTTAGTCTTATCTAGGATTGATTATTGTAACTCGCTCTACTATGGTCTTCCTGACTCTATACTCTATCCTTTAAGTAAAGCTTTTAACTCTGCTGCTCGCCTAGTTGCTCGTGCCCCTTTCTTTTCTCATATATATCCTTATTTTGTTTTCTTGCACTGGCTACCTATAAAATATAGAATAAATTTTAAAATTTGCACGTTTATGTATAAATCTCAATCTAAATTATTTCCTAAGTATTTATCAAATATATTAATTGAACCTAAACGCCCCGGTTTACGATCGTCTTTTTGTTCTCGCTTTTTCTTAACTCGTGTTAAACACTCTTTTGCCAAATCTGCTTTTGCTTTTTTGGTCCTTTTCTCTGGAACTCTCTACCTACTTCTCTAACTACTTCTCCATCACTTGCGAAGTTCAGAGAGGATTTCAAGACCCATCTGTTTTCAAAATTCATTGAGGAGCGCTGTTGAACATCGCGGAAAAAGCGCTTTATGAGCTAATTGATTGATTGATTGATCTATGACATCATCATCATCATCATCATCTATGTTTTTTGTGTAATAATTGTACAGATTTTCGTGTTCAAACAAACAAAAAAACTCGGCCCGGAAGGGTACAAAATAAGGGTTAAGTATGAGATCCGTCCCCGGTGAAAAGTTTATTTATATTCGTTTTTAAAACATAAAAGATACTATTTACGAACACATTTGCTATCTGGTTATCTTTATAACATTAAAAAATTCAGTTGAATGTCGAACATCTATCGACTGTCGAATTCCTACAGTTAGCGTGGAAAGTAATAATCGGAATTTTCTCCGTTCGTTCGTTCGTGGCGTTTTTATTTAGAAGTTAGTTTCATTAGAATTGGTTGGTGTCATGGGTGATTTTTCAGTTTTTTCACGTTTGTTTTTTCAAAATATTTTTTAAAGTAAAGTTTCAAATGAAGTCACTTGGTATTATTAAGTTTGTTTTCTAATGAAATTAAATTTACTTTTTGGCGCTTTTTTTCATGATTAATTTTATTTACTTATATATTATTTTAAATTATTTAAAACTCAAATTGTTATAGGAAAATGGCTGAATAAAAAGAAAATAGGAACACTGCAAATAAAATTAATAGTATATATTTTAATTTTATAAAAATGATTTTTTAATTAATTGAACATTTTTATTTTAACTGAACTTTTTTATTTTAAGTTTTAAATTAAAAAGTTAAGATGATAATCCTGTAAGAAGTATAAATTGAGAGATGATCATTGTTTATTGCAAAATAGTATAATAATACCATAGAAAATATTTTAGAATTTTACTTTTTCAGCAGACTCATTCAAGATATGGTCCAATGAATTAATTTTTTAATTTTCTTTTTAGTCAATCTAATATTTAAAATTAATAAAATATGTGGTTACACTATTTTTTATGTTGCTTTTTTTATTAAAAAAATAAATATCATATACTTAATTAATATTAATTAACTTCTAAAAGTTATTTACAATTTTTATCCATAAGATCTAAGTTATATACTTCATAACTTTACACTACAAACATTCTTTTCTTTAAAAATAATTTAATTTAGTTGGTAGGCCATGGAAACTAATAGCTTAGCCCATAATATAAGAAGCTAAGCTAGCTATAAATAGATCTATATATATATTGATTAAATTTTTTAAAAACATTTTTTTGCTTACATGTACAATGTACATCAATATTATGCTTTTTACATTTAATTTGTTTATATTTTGATTAAAACCTAAGTAACTGTACTATACTGAAAGGTTGACAAATTTTTTGGCTAAGATGAGAATAAGATTGTTACAAAATTTCATTGATTAGAAGATTCAAAAACAATATTATTGCAATACACAATAACAGTTATTAAATAACTAATAGCTTCAGTTAACAGCTTTTTTAAATGTTTTTATGTTTTAAATAATAAAATTGTTTTTATTATTTTATGTCATTATTTATGTTCTTTAAAAAAAATCAAATTTCATTTATTTATAAAAGAAAATGACTAAAAAGAGAGCGGCCAATAGAGAACTGAATCATGATAACTGGGATCAAGAAGACAGCGATGAAGAGGAGGTAATTGTTTCCATTAAATAATGAATAATTAATTTATAAAATAATTATTGATAATTAAATAAAAGAATGGATCTTAAAATAAATAACTATAGTAGATTTATAACATCATCATGGTTTATCATTATTTTTTGTAAAAAAAATTAAATGGCAGGTCATTATTATTAGCGGCTTAAGATAAGCTGGTTCCTATTTGTTTATTACTATTAGTAATAATCCATTTGAGTAATATGCACCATACTCAACACAAGATTAAAATAATTATAAAAGAATAATTATCATAACATAAGTCTTTTCTGTTGTAAATTTGTGTTACATAAAATGACTGTACTTAAATTATTATAACTGATGAAGCAAAAGGAACTGCAATTCTATTCTTTTAATTTTATGTTGTGTCATGTACACAGAGAGGATCAATTGCCGTTGCCTCCGAAGACATACTCCAGAAGCGAACCATTTTAAAAGCAAAAAGACGCAAGCCCACAGATTCACCGGTATGGTTTTATCTTTTGTATATATTTTCTGTTTCAGTTGAATTTTGTTTCATTTGTTGTTTGTGCTTTTTGTCATGAATCAACCCTACATGCCTACACTACTTGCATTTTTATATGCAAACACATGTAAAAATGTCTGTTTGTATGTTGTGTTATTTTATTTATTTTTTATTTAATTCAGGAACCAGAGGCAGTCAAGCCAGTGAACATATTTCAAGGATTTAGTTTCACCAGTAGCACCTCTAGTGCCAGCTCATCAAACTCTACCACTGCTCTTCCTACATTCTCTTTCTTTCCAACTTCATCAGTAGCTGCAGCAGCAACATCAACAAAATCTGCCAGTGAAGCGTCAAAGACAACACCTTCATCCTCATCTTCTGGTCTTTCCAATGTAGTCACCTTTGCCACTGAAGCTGATTCTGATGCAAAATCTGAATCAAGGTATCGTTTTCTTGTTTATGTAAATTGATTTTTATAATTTATTCTTCTCTAATCGATTTGCATTCATGTCTTTAGTTACAATTGTTACAAGTGTTATTGATTTGTTTAAATTGTTTACTATATTATAGCTTGATTCAGATGAAAACATTTTTGAACATTTTTTCAGTTACCAAAAGGAAATTGAGCGTTTGAACAAGAGCTTCCTTGACTGGATAACTCATCACATAAACAAGAATCCATGTTGCATTCTGTCGCCTGTCTTCAAGGACTACAACAGATACATCAGCGAACTTGACATGGAGTGTGCCTGTCCAAGCAGTCAGGAGTCAGCCGATGAAGATAAGGTGGTCTCCTCAAAGGCTGAAAGTCAAAAAACAAAATTATCAAGTTCTCCGGTGAAGAAAACTGTTGGATTCGATGTACCAGCGATAACATCTGATGCTAGTTCCTCCGGTAGTTCAACTTCTCTATTAACATCAGCAGCACCCTCAACTAAAACATTCAGTTTTGGCGTTTACTCACCTCCAACCACAGCAACTACAAGTTCCTCTTCTACAAATTTTTTTGGCTTTGGAAGTGGTTCATCAGGAGGTTCTAATTTCAAATGGGGAAGCAATAGCACACAATCTTCGCTGTTTTCTAATTTCAAATCAAATGATGACAACAAACAGGTTAGCAATGATTCAAAGTCAAAGCAAGAAGATACCAACAAGGTAGATAACAACTTAAACCAATCTGTTTCATCTTTCAACTCAAATAAGGAAAAATCTACAAACTTGTTTTCCAGTAAAAGTGAAGCTGCCACTACAAATCCATTCAGCTTCCTCACGGATGCCAACAAATCTACCATCAGCCCCTTCACATTCACACCCTCACAAGACCAACAGCCCGGCAACAAAACTGATTCACTCCCAACTAATCCAACTTTGACTTTCTCTAGCAATCCTCCTTTTTCCTTTGGTTCCTCATCATCCTCCACATTTGGCAAGGGCTTTTTTTCGAAACCTGCCGAGCAGAACACTGAAACAAGTGCCGGTATGTTTTTCTTCTTTTCTTTGTAGCTCGGACATCAGATTTTTGAGATACTAATATTAAAAATTAGCAAAGTTTAATAAAATTCATTTTTATATCATGGCATTTTATGTAATATTCTCAAATTTGCATTACTTTGTTAACTCTAATGTTGATAAACAAATGTTTTTTTTCATTTTTAATTATTTGTGAGAAACTTTTAAAAAGGTAATGAAGAGGAAAAAGAGGAAGAGTACGTACCTCCTAAGCCAGAGTCTGTTGAGACAAAAGAGGAAGGCTCCTTCTACACCATAAGGTACTACGTTTTTTTTTTTCATTCAGGTTCCTATGTTCGATTGCAGTGTTTGTTTAAAAAAATTGCATTATTATTCATTTATTTATTTGTTCATTTATTTATTTATTCATCATTGATGGCTATCGATAGACTAGTTGGTTATAGAATTTATGGATCCTGGTTTATTTGTTTAATCAGCTGACAGATCAAAATGTTGTATTGACTGGTGAAATAATTGGAAGGTTTCAATTGAATTTGTTCACAGATGCAAATTGTACTACAAAAAAGAGGAGAAGTATGACGAGAGAGGTGTTGGCTTCTTACATCTGAAACCAAATGGCAGCAAAACTCAAATGATTGTCAGGACTGATACAGCATTGGGTAGAGAAATTTTGTTTCTCTTTAAAATTGTTCATTGAAATATCCTTTCATGCTATTTGTGACAATTTTGTTGTTATTTATTGTGCAGTGTGTTTCAGTATGCCTGACAGGATTCATTCATTTGTTTACATGTTAACAATATTTCTTATTTCTTGTTTGATAGACTATTGCTGTTTATAAAGCTATTGATATTTGTTTCTTGATGGTGATTTTTATTTGGTTTCACGAATCAGTCAGCTGCAGTTGGTTCATCAATGAAACTGGTTCTGTAAAACTTGATGTGTAGCTGTTTTACGTAACGTATAATAATTGACATTGAAACTTGATAGCAGTATTATTTTTTGTAAAACCAATCAAATTATCTCTCTTTTTTAAAGGCAATATTTTGTTGAACATCAACGTGGGCAAATTGATGCCTATCAGTAGGCAAGGAGTGAACAATGTGAATCTCATCTGCATCCCCAATCCCCCCCTCGATGAGAAAAGGCCCTCCAACACCCCAATTCCCATTCTCATCAGGGTGAAGACGAAAGACAATGCAGATGAACTCTTTAAACATTTGACTGAGGCTCAGGCAAAATTGTGATTGGTCCATTATAATTTGTAAATTATTAAATGATTGGTTTTGTTGAACATGCTAGATGGGCTTGATTGGTCAGCTGTGGTTGTTTCATACGCTGATCTTTTACTGATTGGCTGATGTATTGCCTGCCATTAAAATGAAGTGATTAATACTAGCTGTTACTTTTTGTTGTTGCAATTTTAATTGTCTCATTCAGGAATTGAATTCAACTTATTCAGTCATTGAGGCTAACACGATAACGATTTATCATTAATATTAATTTCTAATATTGGATGGTGATAAATTTTTGATAATATATTTTGAAAGAGTTTAAAATGTTGACATTGTATCTGGCATTAAGTTTATTTCATGACAACCGTAGCATAATTTATTAAGAATTCAAAGAGGAGAACGTTTGTACAAAGAGCTATTTGTGTTTCAATATAACACATTAACATTACCCTCCCTGTTGCGTTTGATTGTAGCACGCGATCTGAGTCTGTAACTATTTTGTTCGTTTGATCATATATATCATTACTAATCGAATCGTTGTTTTTTAATTATTTGGTTGACATTTAGAAAAATCCTATAAGTTTAATTTATCCATCACTTGTTTGGTTTTTTTTTATATGGACGGTTAAACTCGCACGTTTGTGTGCGCATGTATGTACGTGTGTGCCGTTTGGTACACTCGCAGTCAAGTGCGTTTTATAGTGATTACTCTAATCGTAGGGAATTGATAGGACGAATGTTTTCCTACCTTCCAATATATGGCACCCTAGATACTCCTTAGGTTTTTAAATAATTTGATGAAGTGTAAACATTTATAGCGTTTGTATTGCCGGTTCGTAATTGGTGTATCATGTTTTCATTCTGTAGAAGATGTTACACGAACAATTAATACGCGATATTACATCGGTTGTTTGGTTTACATTTTTATTCGTTGAATCACAAAAGCATTGAAATTATCTTGGATTTTGTTTATTAAATTATAAAAATGTTTCCCTTCAAAATATTAAAGTTAATTTTCAGCGTTAAAACTATTTGAGTATTGACAGGATGATACATCGCTGGCATGCATGACCATGTAAGGCAGTCCGAGATCTAAATAGGAAATATCTGCAAAAGAAAAATTATTTTTATAATTTTAATATTGCTATGAGGTCTTTCGTCATATCACTTTCATTCGCCTTTCCAGTCTAACTTGAGAAGCTTAAGCCTGAGATACTTGAATTCGTTTGTTACAGTCTTCATAAACTATATTCTAAACGTGCGTGCCAAACTCAGATGTAAAGCATTCATGAAAAGTATATATCGTAATGGCGCATAAAAACACGGTGTACGTATTTCAATACATTAATTTGCTAAAAAGAATATAAATATGCAGCATATTGACTACGTGCACACACTCTTTCTTTCTCAAACAATTTATATCCACGTATGTATGTATGTTATCAGTAGATTTTTAGCAATGATGCTCCAGCACTAAATTTTGTTATCAACGTTGCAGACATGCATAACTGCTCCCTGGCCTTAAATTCCTCAATCATTAAAGCCAGCTTTCCTTTGTGCTGTATGATGCAGTGGCCGGGTATGTACGTTACGTATGTATGCATGCATATGGGTATTTATGTATAAAAATGCATACATATCATTATATATACATATATATAATATATATGGTTTTATGGAAAGTTGATGTGCATTTGTTTTGATTAGACGAAACTTGGATATGGATTGTGATTTATGTATGCTAAGATGCAAATGTAATTGTTTTTTGTATCGTTCAAACGTTTCTATGTTCACGTACGCGTGTTTCTGAACAACTGTAATATAGATTATTGAAATTTTAAAGAAATTTTTTGTCATTATTAATTGTGTGAAATAAATTACGGGGTGCGATTTTTATGAGACTTTTTATTGCTGAATGAATCAGGTTTGGATGTATGTTTCTACCGAGATGTAGATGTGTGTATGATTCATGAGCATGTCTGTCTGTCTGCTGCCTGTTCATCTTTACATCACCGCAAGGAAACAATCACTTTCTGTCTCCACTTGTATGGATAATGTTATATGTATAAGTATAGATTATATATGAATATTCGATAATGACTCATGAGTATACTCTTTATTTTTTTATTTTTCCGACTAGAAATTTCTCAATGAATAAGTGTTTAAAAATCCTTCAGAAGACAAGGAAGGTCGTTATTCAAACTTCTTCTTTGTTTCAAATGTTTGCCGTTGTTATACAATGAATATTTCTGCATTATTTGAAATTTGTCTTTATATAAATGCTCGAAAATCCTTGAAATGTCAGAGAGGAGTCTAGTTTTATGTTTCTAATTTTTCCGCTCAATACAAATGCTTCACCATTGTTACAAATTAGCAACGTATTTGTGTTTCATGCAGTGGTGATATTATACACCGCTCTATCTCAAATTAAAACAGAAGGTTATAAAGTAACTCTGATATAAAGCAAAAAATTATAGATAAGATATCTTCAATTATTATCGAAAGTCAAGGCAAAAATGTCATTGAGTCAACAATGAACGTCGATCAAACATTTGAAAAATTTGAAGAAATGTTCATACAAATTAAAAAAAACAACTAACTAATTTGATTTAATAATTGCTTTGTAATAAATAGTCTCTAATCCTCTCGACCTGCATGCGGCAGTTGCCGGGCTGCTGGCCGTCCACATACGTCCCGATGATCAGGCCTGTAGGTCGTTATTTCAACTCTTACGTCATTTCAACTCTTACATCAATCTATCCAACATTATTTCATTTATATGATAAGTAATTTCTAAATTTCGATTTGAAATTTTTTACTTAAACAAAAACTTTATCAGTTATTTCAATATTTGTAATATTGTAAACGAAATTTGACAGGAAAATTATTTATATTTATAATGAAACGAAGGGAGATAAAATCGCAACAACAAATTAAATAAAAAAAATATTGAAGAAACAAGAGGAGGACTTACACTTGTTAGATCGAGCGATGGAAACTCCGGTGGACCCCTTCTTTCCTTGAATTTGGGAGTCATCCGACCGAATGTAGAGATATTTCGCGCCTCCCAACATGATTCCACTACTGCACAAGCTGTCTGGAGATCGAAATCCATTAATTATCGTCTTTATTTCTGTGGGAGTGATCTAGAAAGGTTTAACAAAAAAATTACGGATTTTAAAATAAAATAATTTAGCAAAAAAGTAGTGAAAAATATTTATAAGATGATTAAAACTTGGAGACGATTATGGGATACGCAATTCTAAAACTAACGAACTATTAATATTAATTATTTAATACAATTATTAATTAATTTATTTTAATTAGTTAATAAAATTATTAATAACAGCGTATAAAATAATTACGTTAAAATCTGGGCTTTTGGTCCACACAGCTCCATCATCTGTGCCACAGACTGCCGCTTTGTCTACGCATCCAGTTTTGAGAAGACTGTCTCTGTATGAATCCCAAGACATTATAGGTTAGTTGCTTGTTGCTTGAAGACTGAGAAGTTGCAAATATTTGTTGTTTAATTAGTGTTCGTACTGCAGATAGGTAGATGTATGATTGGCTGCTTTTCCTGCAATTTCAACAATCTCGTTGAAAAATTAATGATGCAACAAGTTTCTACAACTAGTTCTTCTTTAATTTTCTGAAGTTTTATTAATTTTGAAATTTAATTTTAAACAGATAAATTTTGTTAAATAATAATAATATTCTTACTGATTAATTAATTTTCCAGAAATTTATTTCTAAAAACCATTACGAAACATTAATATTCTAAAAGAGGAAACATCAAAGAACCTCTGGCCTAGTGATATGGGAATGAATGAGCGTATGAAAGGAAGAAAGGATGAATGAATGTTCGGAAGAGTAGAACGCTCCAGCTATCACTTCATATGGCTGTTTGTTATATGCAAGCAATCTAACTAATGGCGATGCGTTCTATACTTTGGTTTTTATTTATTATAAGTACATGATACAACATCACTAACACGTATTAAAGTGTATGTACGCTTTGTATATTTGTACATACAAGTCACACACACACACAAACACGCATATATACACATACATATATAACATAAATTATACATGATACATGAAACAAATATACATGTGTATGAATTATGGTTGTTCACAACTTACACAATCTTCTTTGCACAATATTCTCTTAATCATCTCAGTGAATGTACGCATTAAAAAAACGCAAAAAACACATTTTCAATCGTTGTTATCGGGTATAAGTTTATTCGAAGTATATTTTTGTATGCTGAAATATATGTATGTATGCTGCTATATGCATGTGTATGTGTGGATGATTATGCCTGTTTGTGTGTGTGTGTGTGTGTTTGCGTGTGTTTGTTCGTGAAATGAATGGCTACATGTACATAGTTTTTTAAATACTTGTAAACGGTTCACATGCTCAGAATTCTTGTAAAAAAAATTAGACATTTCAAGAAACCTGGTACTATGTAACTTTTGTTGATAACGTTTGTAATTGAATCTCATTTTAACTTCCATTTTTGTATTATTTGCTTTCTTCTTTGATAATTGAAGAAAAAAGAATTTAGTTAAATTTAGAATCACTGCTTGCCTATGCATACGACCCAAATCTTTACAACTTTTCCCGATGTAAAATATAATGGTTTGCGTATCAATGTTCTATATTGTACACACACACACGCACGCACGCACGCACATACACACACACACACACACACATTCAATCATACACAGACATTCACTCACACACAGACATTCACACACTCACACACACATGTAGTTAGACGAAAAGAATGATTTGTCATCGACATTCATTTTATCCTTAAATCATCGGCAGCAGTAACAGCAGCAACAGCAACAACACTGAAAGTTCATTATTTGAGATCGTTGGTGGCAAATCATTACCATAAACATTAACGATTCCTTCATTATAATTAAATTCAGGTAAAAAGGTTTTCGTGAGTAAGCGTTTTAATTAAATAATTAATTAATATATTTGATATGTTTATTGATTTTAAAGTTTTCAAGTTTAAAAGAAGCTTCTTTCATAACTAACAAACGAATGATGCACTGCTAACCGGAAAGAAAACTATGGAAAAACCAGATTTTGCATATTTTTGAAAAATTTTATTTTTGGACCGGCATATTTTGAGTACTTTTCTAACCACAACAATGCCACAACCTCACTCCATTTCCTTCCATGCTACAAAATTACATAAAACCTCCTGTTCACATTTCTCACCCACCATTCTTTCTAACCTACAACTAAACAAATTTGGGGGAGGCGATGTTAGGGAAAGAAAGAAAAGTGGTCTTTCTCGATGATCATAAACCAAAATTCTAGTTTTTTCTATTCTCTTTATGTTTCATAATCAGTTTAAATTAGGCAGTTTATTGCTTGGTGGTCAGAAATCTTTCATCTTTTAACACTGTCGGATGTAAATGCTCCTCTGTTAATAAAATGTTCACCGGATGACAAGTATTTATGAAATATATATTTAATGCATTCCAAGTTTTTCCATGTGAATCTCTTATTCATGAACACAAAAATCTAGTTACATTTTATGTAAAGTTTTAGAGAAAAAATTTGAATCAACATTCTTGAGAATAACAAACACAAACACACCGCACACACGTATAAGCGAACAGAACCACATACAAACAAACCTCCCTGTATAATGCTTATCTACAACAGACAACGCAAAAACAAAGCTTGTATGCATGCATACTTACTCAAATATTTGAGAAAATATATGAAGATGAATATCTATCGCCTATCTATCTGTCTGTCTATCTATCTGTCTGTCTGTCTGTCTGTCTGTCTGTCTGTCTATCTGTCTATCTATCTATCTATCTATCTATCTATCTATCTATCTATCTATCTATCTATCTATCTATCTATCTATCTATCTATCTATCTATCTATCTATCTATCTATCTATCTATCTATCTATCTATCTATCTATCTATCTATCTATCTATCTATCTATCTATCTATCTATCTATCTATCTATCTATCTATCTATCTATCTATCTATCTATCTATCTATCTATCTATCTATCTATCTATCTATCTATCTATCTATCTATCTATCTATCTATCTATCTATCTATCTATCTATCTATCTATCTATCTATCTATCTATCTATCTATCTATCTATCTATCTATCTATCTATCTATCTATCTATCTATCTATCTATCTATCTATCTATCTATCTATCTATCTATCTATCTATCTATCTATCTATCTATCTATCTATCTATCTATCTATCTATCTATCTATCTATCTATCTATCTATCTATCTATCTATCTATCTATCTATCTATCTATCTATCTATCTATCAAAAAATGTATTATGCATATATACATAGATATGTGAAAAAGTACACTTGTGTACAAATAATCACATCTAAAATAACCAAACATGAAAATTCATGTGTACTTTTTATACACAGATACATTAACTGAATTCGTCCTATAAGCTGTGTGTACATGTTTGTGAACATTGTAACGCACACAGCGCGCAAATTGATATCAAGAAAATAAGTACATGTGAAGAGCAGATACAAATACAAATACACGCTGGTGTCGTACACAACAGAATTGCGCATCACGTATAACTCAAGCAGGTGTTACCATTAACTACCAGCCCGTCTACTTTGAACACGTTCAATTAAAAGCTCTTCAAAGACGCTGTTTCCATTATTTAACTCTTCTCCCAACTTTATCGCAATCATGACACGATTTCTAATCTATTTTCGGTGTTCCGTCCTTTAAGAGGTCACCTGTTTGCAATGACTTTCATATTCTGCGATATTCAATGAAATTTTGAAAAAGAGACAGGAAGGACAGCAAAGAGAAATTGATAAAATTGCACGCCGATTCAAATTACCATTACGCGTAAAACATCTCGCGCACAAATGCAAGGACTCAAAGTTCAACTTTTTTTCACGTAGCACCAACTTATACGATCGACTGTTGTTTTAGTAGTTAATACACATTATAAAGACACACACACACACACGCATAAACCCACACACGCAGACACACGCACATATATATGTATATATATAGAGAGAGCGAGAGATAGAGTAATTGAAAAAATTTACATGTACGGTTATTTGATTTCTCATGAGCGCGTATTTCATTCTATATATATATATATATATATATATATATATATCCGAATGTGCATACCTACAAAAAAATTGAACATCATCCCATGAACTGTACAACTAAACTAAATGATCTATTAAAAATCATTAAACAGAATTAAAACTATGTTTTTGAAACTGGGCAGAGATGCGGCGATTAATTAGATGTTAATCAAAAATGAATGAGACGAAAACGATAGTCGATATTGGAATTTTTTCAACAGTAATCAGATCAGATTGATTTAAGATCAGTAATTCGAAAAGAATTTCAAGAGGGGGTTGTTTATCATTTTTAAAACGCACTGCTGTCGTTGTTGCTGTGTGCAGCGCTGATTACAAACAAGCAGAACAAGAACAGGTATAGAGAGGTGATTAGTCATACCGATATCATCATCAACATTATCAACTGTTAAACGATTAAAAATTATCCTAGCAAAAATAATAACTATAACTGAAAAAAGTGAAATAATTATTACAAATCAAATAGATAAAATACAAGTGTTGACGATAAAGATAATAAAACCAACGTAGGCAAGGTTTATAAAATTATACAAGAGAAACAACACAGCATCAATTCAACGTAATGTGGCACAACCCAATTCAATACAAACAATACTACATCGTCTACGGATACAGATATCGATCAGCTCGAACAGAAACATGAAAAACAAAAAAAAATTATGACATAAATAAAGGTGAGATGCCGCTTCGTATTAACGAAGACCGTATATATACCTTTTATACACACTACCACTAGGTACATACACGAACAACAACACGCACCATATATGTATATATTTATATCTATTACAAATCCTTTTTCAATAGTTTTCGGAGGCAGGAAGCATCAGCGACAAACACACAGTGCACGCAAATACACGCGAAACGAGCATCACATTTTTGAAATTGATTCTGACCACCGAAATAGCAATGTCAGGAACTTCCCGTTTGACCATCGCTCCGTCCATATTTATCACACACACACTCACAAAAATATTTAAGAGATATTACTTATAATATAAATAAACATTAATAATATAAATAATAAAAATAACAAAAAATAAAAGTTAAGATGGTTCATGTTTTAGTAAATGTTCTTTTAAGGCAGGAATGGTGTTCAACTCTTTTGAGCATAAATGACATCTGTAATGAAAATTATTCAAACTGTATTTTTTATTACTGTTTTCTCTTTGGCTTAAAAAATATTTAAAAAATTACAAAGCAATATATTAACATAATTTATTCATTGGTGACATTTTCATAATCGTAACTAGCAATTTTATCAACAATATCATCATCCGTAATAACATTATTATTAGTGTCATCATCATCATTCTAGTTTTAAAATTTATTTTTATATATCACGAAAACATTTTTATTAATAATATTTTAAAAAATGAATAAATAAATAAATAAATAATAAAATAATTAATTTTGAAAAGGTAAAATATTTAAAAAATCAAATAAAACAAATAAATGAATAAAAAACTAAAAAATTACTTCAAATTAGATTTCAGTAGAACGTCATATTTGGCTTTGTCATAACTGACTGATCCTTCGATCTCAAGCTTCTTAATCAGATCTTATATAATTATATTATATCACGAATGTTATGTCACATCATTATCATCATCATCATCCATTATCATTATCATCATCATCGCCTACTCCAACCGCCACTACAACTACTACTGCCTTAACTACTATTACTATTACTACTACTACTATTACTACATTACCATTGTTAGTATAACCACCAAAAATTATATTAATAATACTACTGACACTATTACTATCACTTCTACAATACTACTACCGCTACTGATACATACTACTACTACTATTTACCTATACTTAAAATTAACTAAAATACTACGAAAAGAAGTAACCAGATGATTCAATAAAGTACTCAGTGTTGAAGGAGTTCCAATGTTTTTTCGTTTTTAGGCAAGTTGAATTGAAATCTTTGCTTATGGCATGCAAGTGAATGTGACTGTAAATACATGAGAAAGAAATGTCAATTAAAATAATAATGTAAGTAAAACTAATGTAACTTTATCATTAATATCACCATTATCAAAATAACAACAAAACAGCAGACCAGAAAACTCAGCCATTACACCATTCCACCATCCATTATAATTAAATAACTGACCTCATGCTTGGTATAGCATGGTAACCAAATTTAAATGACCATTTTGATTCTGAGCTGTTTAAATAAAATTAAAATTTTGATCATCATAAATTGTTCATAATTTAAAATTTAATCTATTAATCATTTAATTAAACATAATTGACCGATTTATTTTAATAAATATATAAATAAATTAGTTAATTAATAAATAAACTATTAATTATTTGATAATGTTTACTTATTTACTATTTACTAATTGGCTCAAATTGGAAATGTACTTTTTACAAAGGTCAAGTGCTTTGTCATGCATGTGTTTCAACAGAGGAATGTGGGATGAATTCAATGCTTTCAAATTGGCTATATTATCCTTTGGCAGAACTAAGTAGTGATGTTTTGCCTGCAAATTTAAGAATTTCATTTAATTTTTATTAAATTATTTCATTAAAACATTGAAACAGCTAACAGCAATGAATATAATTATATTAAATGAACAAAAATTTAAAAAAAAGCTGATTATTCTTAATATAAGTGTAATGATGGCTTTATTATACTTATACTAAAAATTTAAGAGTTGAAAAACTCTGATTAAAAATTTCTTATTCAATCAAATGCCTAACTTTTGGATATTTGTCTTTGATGATGGTGATATGGTCATCCTCGAATAGTTTAAGTTCTGGATCATTCATTGCTTTCTTCAGACCATCTGACCAAAACCCAGTTGATTGCTTCTCTAATGATCAATCACACGATAACAAGAAATTTTTATAATCTATTATTAAAAACCAACATCTCAATTTTATCAAAAAAATTTTTTAATATTAGTAATGGCAATAATAATAGCATAAAGAAAAGATTAATAAAAAAAGTAAATTGTAAGTAGTTGTAGTCAGTGTAGTTAATCAATGAAATCAAAATGTGGAATAAAGAACTTAAATTAAAATAAAATAGAAATGAAAGAAAAATAATCTGGATAAATCTATAATAATTTGGACAATTATTATCATAAAATAAATAAAAAATATATAAACTAGCATTAGATTCTTTAGAATCTACTTTTATGATAAAAGTTTTATCTGATAAATAGAATTATTTTCTATTAGAATAGAATAGAAAGATAGAAAAATAATTTCTTATAATAGAGATAGATATAAATAAATAATTATATCATGATATATCTTTTATAATCTTAAATCTTAACAAAAAATCTTAAACCTTAAAAAAATTTTATATAAAAATCTGATTCTGATGCAAACCCTTTTTATTTTTAGACATTGAATTTGAATCCATGCCCGCTTCCTTTCTTTTTCTTTTTTGAGACATGTTCAAATTTGCTCCATGAAACATAAATAATTTAAAACATGATCTATTCGCAATTTTATGATTCAGATTTTGTTTTATTTTATTGAAAAAGCGAACGAAAAGTTATATAGAAATAAAAGTAAAGTTAAATTCAAAACGAAGATACCTAACTTTTTTACTCCAACTTACCATATTCTTCAGATTTTGAAAATACTTATTTCTTAAAAAATAATTAAACCAACAAGAAAACAGTAGCAATAATTTTAAATTATTACAATTTTCACCAGCATTTTATTTATTCTTGTTAGTTTTGTAAAAGTCTCCGATAGCCACGTCGTATTCCGTGCTATAAAAAATAAAGACAATAGACAACTTACCGTCAGCGATTAGATAGATCGAATTTTAAAATACTCGATTGGTAAACATTGAACTAAACTAAAAAAAAGCTCTGTTGTGAAATATCAAATATGTTCTAAATAAACCAGAAAAAGAACGATTATTTTCACTAATTTGAGATGTTTAGAGGATTGAAAGATAAACTTGGAAAGAGTTTCAATCAGACCAGTAGCAAGCTGGTTAGAGCTCTTAACAATGATGACTCCTCTGTATCTTTTTCAGCTGCTGGAGTTTCCCCAAGAACGGTTTTCTTTTCTAAAATATAAAAATTAACAAAAATGATCAATAAATATTTTTAAAAATTAAATAATTTTTTTTTAATATGATAATTACTGTATTAAAATTAGCATCAACCTGTTAATTTATTTAATGTCACTCACAGGTGACATAAATAAATCAAATGAAGATGGACATTGATTGTCCATTTCTTTTTTTTTTGAAATTTTTTTTTCAGTTCAATATTTAGAATTAGTTTAAAAATACTTTTTAAATTACTAGGAGCTAAACTCGAACAGTGATGAAAGAGTTCAAGACATCGTTACACCAACAAATTCACTTATTGATTTGAATGACAGCATTGCCAGCAGTGGGGTTTCTTTCACTGTCAATCTCAATGAAAATGATCATCACCATCTTCACCATTCAACACCCAATAGTTCATCCATCATTGACCATAAATCTCCTGCTGTTTTGGATCTATCCAACTACGATTCCAACGAAGATTTATCAAAAATTGTTAGCTTTTCTAATATTTTTCTATAATTTATTGAAGATTTATGATCAAAATCACGGTTATTTTTCATGCTAATGGTTTTATTCTTTATTTGTTTTAATTTTATTTAAATAATTAAGTATAAATTGAATTTTTAATATTTATTTATAAATTAGCAGGGTGAGGTGGATACGATAGCCTCGAACAATCACCCAACTGCACCTCCTCGTAAAGCTGCAAATGAACCATCCTCTGCTGCCAATCGACCTCGAAATGACTCGGTTGTTTGTTATGTCATTATTAACACTTCTAAAATATCTATTTCACTATGTTACCAACCACCAATATTTTATTTTCAAATATTTAGAGTAATGTTGTATAGTATAGTAATAATATGGTAATAATATAGTATAAGATAGTAATATAATACTGTACATAATATCGTATATAAAATGTGGAGTGATATAGTATATGGAATAGTAGTGTATAACTTAGTATAGAAGTTAAAATACTGCAAAGATGATCGATCATCTGTTGTCCTGTTGACAATGTTACATATAAGTTTTTTTTTTCATTGTCTAGTATATTTATCCATGCTATGTTCAAATTAAGCTTGATCATGTTTTGCCACATTATCAGTCTACCATTGTTTATATATATTTATTATGTATGAGGGATTATATTATATTATACAATACTATATTATGTGATATTATATTATATATGAATAAACATTCATATATAGCCACTGATTTTCTTAATCAACAATTTGTTAAATAATTAATTATTAAATTAATTAATTATTTATTTAGTTAAATAAATTAAAAAATCAATAATAATGCAGATGAGCTCGCAGATGAGTGACAGTTATTATTTTTCTCCAAATTCAAGTTTTGTGCCCCCCTCACTGCAACAGCAGCCACAGCAGCAGTACCAGCCACACCATCACCTAAGCATAGCATCCGATGCTGAGAGTGTAACAAGTGAACTGGATGAATCGGTTGCTGCCCTCGGTAGCAATCCTTCAGCTGCGACCAACAAAATGTTGGAGTTCATATCGACAGATGAACTGCTGAGATTTTATCACAAAATGCAAAGTAGAAATCAGAAATATTCTGGAAGGTATTCACAGGTTGGTTATTTTAAAAATTTGTTTAATTTGTTTGCAATTTATTTATTTGTCAATTTTTTTCCTCTTTTTTCTTAAATTATTTATCATTCAACATTGTAGTTACTAAGAGAGATTTTGTGTATGGATTTATTAAGAATTCGTAAAATTTATTGTAAGCTTAGGTCACAACTCACTTGATCTCCATACAACTCTTTTACTACTATGTTATTTATTGATTGTATGCTGTTGTCTGGCTCTTTATTACCTTCTAGTGATGTTCATTTGTCTCATCTCTCTTAAATTTTTGTTAATTATAATTTGGTTGCATGTTACATATGCCATTGTTTTGATATATTAGTTTGCATGTAATTCATGCTCTTGTTTCAATCCTCTTTCAGTTGTATACTGCTTATAAAGATTTGGAGAAGGAAAGAGACAGATTAAAAGTATTACACATTTTTTCTAATTTTTATTTATTTTAATTTGACTTAATTTAAATATTTAATTTAATTTATTTTTTTTCAAACTTATTTCTTCATCTTTTAATTTACTGCAATAATTTTTTTTTTCAAAAATTTTTTCACTCTTCCTTATATCATATGCATGTTTGTAAAATAAGAACATACGTAACATATATAATAAAGTTAATATTTATTATTAAATACTAATTTTTAATGCATTTTAACTGATTTTTTTTAAATATTCAAATTTTTAAATACAAAAACATTTTTTGTAGGAGGTGCTGGCAAAATGCCAGGACAAAGCCTTCCAGCGCATTACAGAATTAAAGGAGCAGATATCCCTAAAGGACATGGCCTTGAATGACGTTGAGGTCAACTACACGATGATGTTGCAAGAGAAGGATGAATTCATCAAAGTCCTCCAGATGCAGGTCGGTTGATGTCTCCATTTTTATTGTTATTACCATTATTTTTTTACTTTTGTTGTTGTTGCTGCTGCTACTGTTATATTAGCTTTTGTTCGCGTGAGTTTTGTTGTTCGTTGTTTGTGATCTGTTTTTAGATTTGTTTTGTAGTGTTTGTTTGTTGCATTGTATTTATAGTAAAACTTCATCTTATATTTTTACATGTCTGCCCAACAAGTCAGATTTGTGTGGCAGTTATGATGTGTTAATATTGCATAAAGATTTGTATGAACAGAAGTCGTATATCAATTTCTCAATCCTCTGAAAGGTGAACATTTTGAAGAAGAAATTTGATGAAAATAAGGACAAATTGATTGGCGCAGATGATGAAGATGAGGATGTCAGGAAGGCAAAAGTAGCATCTGAAAACAAGTATTCAAAGGAGGAAGCTTCTGTTGACCTTAATGAATTCAATGCTTTAAAAGAAAAGGCAAACATTTTTCTATTTCATTTCATTTACTTTTTCATATTGTTAGTGTATGTGCATGTTTTTGTTGATTTTATATTATATCAGGGCTGTTAATATTATTCTTTTGTGAAATGCTTTCTGAAATAAAGGCTCTTCAGATATAGTTTTCTCATGAGAATGATTGAACTTAAATTGTATCACCTATTCCCTTTACTAGAGTTTTACCATCAACTCATACACCATTTTCATTTTAGTTAATAAATGTATCCCTTTTGATAATAATAATGATAAAAATTTATAGAATGTGAAGATGACGTCGTTGCTAGGCAATTGCAAGGCAACTATATTGAAACATAGAGAGGAAATCAAAGAACTATCAGAGCAAAACAAAAGGCTTCAAGAAAATGTACGTTTTATAGTTTTTTTTACATCTTTTTGGTGGTCTGCTTTTACGATCTTTCAAATGAAAAATGTTTCTTAATCATTGAATTTTTGGCTAAAATTTTTTCTTCAGTTGAATTATTTAATAATTAATTCTTTTATATTTTTTTTAGTCCGCAGATACTTCAGATGTTTCATTAATGAAGGCGACGTTATCTTCCAAGATCTCTTCATTGGAAACTGATTTAGAGTCAACATTCAAAAACAACAAGCAACTTGTGAAGAACATGACAGCGCTGAAGGCTGATCATGATGCTCTCACCTCTAAATTCAACGAGACCACAAATATTCTCAATGAAGATATCAGACTTCTGATAGTGCAGAAGACTGATTTGGAATCAAAGTACGAAAATCTCGCTGAAGAAAATGGGAGTCTGGTGAAAAAGATTGAAGCGTTAAATAAAGAATTACAAATTGAGCTGAATGAGAAAGTCGAACTTG